GCCATAGTTTTATTTATGTTACTTTTTTAATTGAAAACTAATTATTTCTAATTTATAAAACACAATACATTACATCAATAATTAAATAAAGAGAATTTTATATTCAAAATTTAATTAATTAATTTAAATGACTTAAAGTTTTGACACATTCTAACATTTGTCACATTCACTAAACATATTATAAAGTTTATATCAATTGATTCAATAAATATATTTTTATTATATGTCATAAATTAATGTGTGTTATATTAAATAGCATTATTTAAATATCAAAAGCAATGATAAAAGTCAATTAAAAATACAGTATCTCAATAAAGTTAAAGGGATAAACATCTAAAAAGTAAAATCTAAAAATATCCGATTCTTGACCTTATTTGACCCAAAAATATACTATTTTTATGTGATATATTGTATATACTGTACATACAGTTTAGAAATACAAATGTTAGCATTACTACAAAGTAATCAAAGTGTCAAATAATATGCCAAAACAATACATTGTTGTTGTATTGGTCACATTAAAATTTTAAACACTGAAATATAATATTTATAGTAATTTTATTTAGATTAACAGATAGGTTAATATGGGATTGTTTGACTTATAAATTCTAACTTTATGTCAAATTTGTATTTTTTAATTTTGTGTTTAATACTGATATAATTAAATTATTTTAATTCAGACAAAAAATAATTAAATTTTGATGAAATTTTTTAAATAATATAATATGTACAAGTTTTGAAAATATTTTTTAAATATTGTTTTTTTTAAATAAAACAAAAAATGTATATTGACTTCTATATAATTATTATTACATATTTTATTATACTCTATTAAATATAACAAAAATTAATTTAAAGTTGTTTATTGCAGCTAAATGTTATAATAAAATAATATTGTAAAATACATTATTTAAATAATTTTGATTTTTTTGTCGCACAATTCAGACAATTTAATCTACAGTATATATAATGTGATGGGAAAATATCATAGTAATTACAAAATTGTTATTGTAATGATGTAATATATTTGTTAATAAGATTTAATGATTATTAATTATCTTATTTTTTGTAAACAACATAATAATAAAATACAATAATTTTTGTATTTGTATTATTATTGAATATTATAATACTTAAATATTATAATTTTATGATTTTAATGTACAGGTATTTTATTTAATAAAGTTTAATTAGATAAACAAAATACTATAAGAATTATATTTATAAAATTATAAAAAATTTAATCTAAATGATAAATCAGTGTTTTTTAAACTTATAATATTTATTTATTAATCTAGTTAATTTGATACAAATGCTAAATTATATTATTTATATCATTATAAAACGTTAATAATAAAAGTTAAAATAAATATCTGTTAATATTTTTAATAAAATCAGTATCTATTGTATTATATAATTGAATTGACTTCTTAATAGAAAAATTAATTAACGTTTTTATTTAATTGCAAACTCAATAAAACAATAAAAGATTAATATCCTGGTATTATTTAATTTCTCCCCTATTAATGTATATAAAAATAAATAATAGTAATAATAATAATTATTATTATTATAAAAAAGATCAAAATCACTAAATAAAACAACTGTTAGTTTAAGGATTTTCTGGTTCAGTAATGGCATAAAAGTGGGGTTTATTCAGGGATATGATATGACAGTCAATGTAAATGATGTCATATATACAGTATATATATTTGAAAAGTTGTGTGTGTTTTACAAATATCTTAAATAAACGACTCATTGAATTGAAAATAACATTGATTTTGATTTGGTTTACATCCAAATATAATTGTCTTATTATGAGAAAAGCAAAGGAAATCCTTATATATTAATCTCAAAGATGAGACAATTTTTCAAATTGAAGACATGGTATCCAATTGAAAGCAACCATTACTTCATGTCTAATATTGTTAACCGATATAACATTTTATTTGTAGTTTATTATATTATTTATGTGTTATAACTTTATATAATTAGTTGCATTTTATTTTTTACTTTTATTATATTTTCTAATAAAAATAATTATTCCCCAAAATATAGAAATATTTATATTTAATAATACAAATAGTTATACATTTATATATTATAATAATAAATGATATAAAATATATTGCTTAATAATAGTAAATACCGTTTTATTATTAAATAAAATAATATATATATAATTATATTTCAATGTTTTGCAAATAAATTATATATGTTAAATATTATTTTCAATATTATAGACAAAAACGTATTCAGTATTATAATATATCTAATAAACTAGAATTATATTAAATATTATATAAAAGAGTTGTTATTCATAGTATTGTAACAATAATTGTATTTATAACTAAAATTTGAAATAATATAGTAAATTGAAACAATTGGATACCAATAAAATTATATACTCATAAATTAAATACATTCAAAGGTTTCATTTTTAACACATTGTATGTATATTGAAATAAATAGTAATTATATTAAATACAATATAAAAACATTTAATCAGTAATTCAATAATATAGGTTATAATATAAGTTACATTTTTTGGTCATCTCTCATATTTGTTAATATTATTGATAATAATGTATACATTAATTACCATTGATTAACATTACCTTGACAATGTTAGAAACATTAAATATAAATATAAATTTCTAATAATACTTTTATCATATTACATTATTTTATAATACAATAGTAACTAGTATACAATAAAATAAATTATAGATTGTATATTTTATTGATTGAAATATTATATATCGTTGTAATCTTTAATTAAAAATAGATATATTTTATTAATTATAAAATTATAATTATAATAAATATTTTTATAAATCACTTCAAAAATCTTCATAAATTTCATTGATAATTAATAATCAATGTTTTAAGCTAAACATAAAAATCTTAACTTTAAAATTTATGAATAAGACATAAGTTACTATTAATAAATTTATTTACTAAATTAATTTTTTTAAACGTATTTAATTTTATTTTCAGACATTTTAATTATAAGATTTTAATCATTAATTTAATTAACACTTTTACAGTTTGATTTACTATTAAATACATAATAATTGATATCAATATTAATACAAATTAAACAATACTATAAAATTTATAAAATCTACTTCACTATAGATATAAGTGTAGTTTTTATTTATGTTATAAACTAAAAATGGGCAAATAGAAATATCTAATAAATTTTCGTGAAAAATTTCTAGTAAATTTCTCAAGAATAAATTTTACTTTATTATTATACTATGGGATCCCCATATTTATAGCTATTGTACTTTATATTCATTGTAATATATTTACTTAATTCTTAGGGCTATAGATATTAATTATAATTGACATAATTAGCATATTATTAAATAAAATTAATATATATATATATAAGAAGGTGCTCATTATATCTGTCCCAACGGTTTTCTTAATAATTCTTAAACAGATAGATATATTGTTTGTGTAAATGTCTGACTATTTTATATAAAACGTAATTTTTTATAAGTTTTAAGTTTATAATAAACTTTTTTACAGAAAGAATCTCTTTATCTGTTCAAACATATAATGAACGCCTTCTTATATATACAGTATATACAGTATATTTAAAATTTATTTTTCAAAATCATAAATACAATTCACATTTTTATAAACATCTATTAATCAATTTACTAAAATTTCAAATTAAACTTTTTATATGTAAATTCTATAATAAGCAACAATATGTAAATATTTAATAATTATACAAAATATGTAATTTTATTAGTAATTAATATTACAATTAAAATAAAAGTTACTTTAAAAATTGTTTATCTTTTTGTACATTTAAATTAATTTAAGTTTTTATTTATTATATAAATATTATTAAGCAATAGGTATTTTTATTAGCATGCATCATGTATTATTGCAAAATAAATTACATTACTTTTCTATTGATTTATTTAATGTGTTTCTAAATATAATTATTTTTATGTAATAAAATTGTAAATATTATGTAAATTATAGATTGAATGCATTGTTTTGTTTTCTAACAATTGTCTACATTAAATGAATTATATAAGTATTAATATAATATATTCATAACTATAAAAACGTAGATTTTAATTTATTTTTTTTGTTTCACGTTTGTAAAATAAAATTGTAAATTTACATAAAAATTGTTACTAAAATATTATAAATTAATCACTGTAATGTAAATTTTTAAATAACATTTGATTACTATTGAAAAAACAGTCTGATGATATATTATTTGCAACTATAATAAAATATTAATAAATGTTAAATATAAATATTTATTATATAAAAATATATCACGAAATAAAAGATTTGTGTCAACCAATTAATATTTAAATTATATATCTATTTAATTTTTTTATAATTAGTTTTATAATAATTAAATATTGTTTGATAAATAAATAAATAATATATATCTAAAACTTCAATAATAATATTTAATAAATTTTTTTTAATAAATTGTCAGTTTTGCCAACAATTGTCATTTGACTGTATATTCATTTGATGGCCGGATATTAGCTGACGGCGCGACTTATTTGGTGCGCAAAGCACTCCAACAGTATTATAATATTATATAATATTTAGATGAGATTTATGTTTAGCCTACCAGTGCTCTCACTAAACAAACAGAGCTCTCAAATGAAAATTATACACTTAAGACAAGAGACGTCGTTAAACCTGATGTGAACCTCAAATGACACCAACGATTACAAAACACTTTAATATTTTTTTATCTAAATAACTCACTATTTATATGTTAACATTGATTAATGTAAATATCGATAACAGATAAATAGTTTATGAAAAAACTAATTTTTATTAATTGAGAAAATTTTGAAATTAATTTATCTTAATATAAGACAAACTCAGACATTACGGCTAACCATTGATTAATCGACTCATTTACACGACACTGTGTTTTACATAAACTAAAAGATGAAAATCTCATATTTGTTTTTATCAATAAATATTAGTTAAGTGACAAAACCAAAAAACTACAGTTTCCACAAAATTAAATAATGGATGAAATATTAGGAGTAAATAAATCGGTGGTTCACGAAGTATATAATTCTTCATGTCTTCAATTACAACAATATTTCATATCACAAAACCAGATAAATGACGATCAAATTGGCGATACCATTGAGATGACAACTCAACCATTATTTAATACCTTATCTAATGCATTGACATGGGATGAAAGCAATTGTTCCGATATATTAAGTCAATTACAGGGACCGATACTAGAGCCTGAGTTTCCATATTATATACGTACGACAGCGACCATTGTGTGCACCATTGTGTTAATAATGGGCACAACCGGTAACCTATTGGTGCCCATAGTTGTCATCAAAACTAAAGAGTTGAGAAACTCGACGAATCTATTTCTTATAAATCTCAGTATTGCTGATCTACTCGTATTAATCGGTAAATTGTTTTTTATTTGTTTCTTTAGTATATATTTATTGTTATTAAATAAATCATTTATTTGAAAATTATCTATGAATTATATTTTTATTTTGTATTTTAAAATATGATTAATAATATTAATAATATTTATTATTTTTGTTTGATGTCTGTTATGTCAGTTTGTATGCCAACAGTTCTCATTGAATTACATACCAAACCAGAAATCTGGCATTTGGGTGAATGGATGTGTAAGTAATACTTTATATTATTAATAATTTTATTTTTATCACTATTTTCCACATACTGTACATATGTCTATTAACTCAATTATTTTTTTGGTCTACAAAAACACTAACAACACATACCAGTCTATCATTGAATTGCATAATACAGTATTTTAAAACTTTTTTTTTTATAATAAATTATGAGTTTCTAATAAAACTTTAAAACAAATGTAAATATAAATATCTCTATATATGATTATATTAATATAAGTGTTATACAGAATATAGACATTTATTTATTTGTTTTTGAGATCCATATGTTTCATAGTAATGCATGTACAGTATATATTTTATACAGTATTTATTTTTAAATTTTTTACTGTAAATTAAATATTAATAGTATTAGAAAAAAATTAATGAAATTATTTGAATAATTTTTATTATATTTAATTTTATTTTTAAAATTGTGCGAAAAATCTATAAGATCAATATTATAAGTTATTTAAAATTAAAATTAAAAAGACATTCATTTTAAATACAATATTAATATTATTATATAAATAAAAATTATTTTAATTGATTGTTTAAATTTAAATTTAATTCCTAATTAAGAATATTTTGATATATTTAACGAATTTATTATATTCGTTGTTCAAATTATTGTAAAATTATTGTTAATATTCCAATTAAAAACTTGTTTTTAAATAGTTAATAAAATTTTTATATCAATTGCAGTAAAAATTAAATTATTTTTGGATTATATTAATTTTTAAATACATACCTGTATGATACTGTTAAGTTATGTATCTATATATTAGATAATGTTGAATAAAATAATATAAAATAAGATTAAATCTAATCTAAATTTATATGAAAATTAAATAAATTTTGGTTTTAAATATTTTATTTAATATAAAATTAAATTTATATTTAGTTTAAAATATATCTTCAATTTTTAGATTTTTTTGACAACTATTAATACATATGACACTATACTACACATACAAATTTTACTTTTAAAGTATAATATATTAGATATTTATAAATAAAATGTCAAATATTAATATCATATTTGAATTGCAAAACACATGTCAGAATGTTTCTTTTTTATTATTTTTATTTTTTATTTTTATCTATATTTTTCACAACTTTTATTTTTGCGCATTATATTATATTTTTATATTTATTTTATATAATGTATTGTATAAACGTATTTAACTATTAATAAAGTGGATAAATCATAAGCAAACTAATAAACTAATAAAGTATTCTTATTGAAAGCATTTTAGTTTAAAATTTTATTTTTATTTTATAAAAATTAATATTATTTTATCAATAGCTAAATAATAAATTTAACTTATATTAACAAAATAATTAATGTTAATATTGTATTATACTTCTGCTTACTTAAAGTATATATTAATAATTCATTTAAAATACTTGAGATATTTTATTCAATATAAAATATAATTAAACTATTTGTTTTCAATATATAAATAGATAATATTATAATTAAGATATTTGTTTGTTTGTTGAAATGTTAAACTATTGTATATAGTGTTTTTGTAAATTTTAGTAACATTTTAGCTAATTTTGATACAAACCGTTTTAATCATTAATAAGAGCTAAACCATAAAATAAATTAATGCTTAAATGTTTGGACGGAATTAGTTTTAAGGATAAAAATACATTAAATTTAGTGTTAGATTCAATGTTTTTATAAGTGTTCACTTAATGAAAGTATCGATTGATTCAAACGAGTTGTGTGTCTGTCTAAGTGTGTGTCTAACTGTAGTTATATTAATGTACAATAATATAATATACCTTATTTGAGGGTTATGTCTACAAATACTTTATAATGTAATAAATAAATATAGTGACAATTAATAAATAAATTAAAAAATATATAAATACACTTATAAGCCATATGTACTGTACTATACATTAATGTATTAATAGTTTAATCGAATTTATATAAATTATTGTAAATTTTGTAAAAACTTGTTTTATGAAAATTTTCCTATAAAGTTTTACTATTATTATAAATTTAATTATAATTTATAAATATACATTTATAATAGTAATGTAAATTTCTGTACACCATTTGTTATGATAAAAACTTTTTAATCTAAACTTTCTAAATTTGTTTAATAAACTATTTATTAAATTTTTATAATATGATAAAATGATTGGATAAGTAAAGACATAAGTAATCTATTTATCATTTAATATATTTCTTATAAAATAATAATTTTAACCTAATTTAATAAATATATAATTAATTTTTGATTTTTATATAATAATTTATTTGAGCAAATCATTTATTACATTTTACATTAATTTATTGTGTTAATAAAATAATAAATATTTATGATTATTATAATATATATTGTATATACAGTACTAAAAAATCTAAATGTCTAATATTTTTTTTATTAAATGTTCTGTCAATTTGCAGACATAAGACCAGACACTTTAAAAAAATACAATAATATAATACAGTATTTATAACATATTAAGTATTAATTAAGTGAAGACACAGATATTAATAAATACACAGAATATTCAGTACCATAACTAATCATATTTTATATGCAAATATATTTTAATGTAACAAATGTTAAAATATTCCTAATAGAAATGCCATTTATTATTACATTATAAAATTTAAAGATATCATATAGAAATTATTTAAATTACATTTTTGTTATTTATTTAAAAAAAATTAATTTGTACTTATAATTGTTTCAATTGATTTATATACTCTGTATATATTATAATACAATATTATAACGCATCATTGATAGTATACAACTTTTTAAACTAAAATACAGTATATCTAAATAATAATAATATGTTAGATATTTACATAGAAAACAAATGTTATTATTAATAATACATACAGTACTTACAATAAAAGATAATACAGATTAATTTCAGTGCAGATATATTAACCTTGACATTGAATTAAAGTTTATAAATATATTTCATAAATATAACTACAGTATAATAAATACTTGATATTAGAGCAAATCATAAGTATTAAACATGATTAAATATTGTTATTATATTATTATTTAATATATTTAATAATAACAATATATATTTAATCATATTTAATACCTTATGATTTGGTCTAATATCATTGTGTTGTATAGTTATTGTAATACATGTGCTATAAATTATTAATAAAATTATTTTAGTAGTGATAGACAAACTTGCATTTAAAATCTATATTTACAGACTTAGGTAAACTAAATCAAAAAATTAAAAATAATTTAGTGTATATATATAATAGTACTGATATAATACTCTATTTATTATTCTTTCAAGTAATAGATGCTAAGTTTAAATAGATATTTATATATATATATATATAAAGTTATTTATATACTGTATTACAGACTGTAACTTACAGTAGATAAATACCAATATTTTTATGAATGACAAATAAAGTAAATTATCAAAAAATACATTTAAACTTATAAAATTTGTACTAAATATAAAAAACCAAATGATATATTTATTATATTTTTAAGTTTCTTAAATTAAAAAATTAGTTTAATAATTGTCAAGTTATTTGCATACAATTTAAAAACTTGTTTATATATATTTGCATCACTGTTTAAATAAGCTTGACTCGATTTTTAGTACAAGTATTAGCAATTAAAATGTATAATGAATACTTTATAAATTACATTTTAAATTTATTTCAAAATCAATCACTTACTATTTTAATTAAAAAAATGATCTATGTCTGTTTTAATAGTATTTGAATTAGAATTTCTAGTAATGTTTTAAAGAATATAACAAAAAGTATTTTATAATTATATAATATTTATAAAACTAGCTTGCTCATTTTGATATAGACATTACTTTCTCATTAAATATTTCAATGCATTTCAAAGTCCACTGTCAATAAAAACACATTCAATATTATAGCAATTACTCTATTGTTTTATAATAAAGTATTAAGGCTTAAAGTATAAAAATAAAAGATTATAAAATATATTATTAAGTTTCACTGTCATATTATTATATCAATATTTATACTTATAATGCTGTCTTATAAGCAACAAATAACTTAAGTAATAATATAGTATATAAGGTACTGTAGTATACTATACTATATTATTAATAAACTAAAATTTATTATTAGACTTCTTTGTATTTAATTTATAAATTATCTTCAAAATTAAATTATACGTTTTTCTAATATAATATTTACTACACCCACATCAGCATTGTATTAATATAATATTTATAAAAAATAGCCGAAACGTTGATGTTATGGATATTTTATTAATTATACTAAACATGTGATCAAATCAATACAATAACAACATCTGCAAGAATTTTAGAAATATGATTCTTATAGATAAAGAGTATTATATATATATATTATATATATAAGAGTTTTGGTATTGAATTTGTGTGAAATTTAATTAATTCAAATTATTTAAAGTTTTATATTTTGGGTTAAAAACCTTAAATATATTTTTTATTGTAAAAAATCATTTGATATTTCAACGATTCCAATATATTACAAAACTATCTAAAAAATTATAATATATATAACAATCTTTTTACAAATCTTTTCGATATGTTTTACATATTGACAAATAATAAAAAACTTATTTATTATTATATGTATATATATATATATATATATTCAATATAAAATATTTATAATAATAATAACAAAAATAGAGATAGAAAATATTTTTCATATTTTTAGTAACCTATATAACACACTAAACTCGCAATAAATATTAGCTGATATTAGACATATGGTTTCAAGAATTTTTTATTAAATGTATAAAAGTTTTATTAATATAATATCCATTTTAATGCCAATGGATGAGAGTAGGATATACACTACAATTGGTTAACAAATACTAGTAAAAAGTGTGTCAATCACTCATTGGATCTAATAATGAGCTCAAATGCAAATATAATTAAATTAAAATGTATTCAAACAAACACATTCTCTCTCTCTCTCTCTCTCTCTCTCTCTCTCTCTGTAGGTATAAATAACATTACTGTAGTTTTTACTACTTTTTTAGTATATTCTTAAAGAGAGAATAAGAGAAATTAGAGTAAATTCTTAAATGACATGATTTTGTCCAATGATTATCATTAACACACATATCATATATTATATATCTTATAATTTATTGATAATAATATCACTATTTTTCTTGTTTTTATTATCTTTAGGTAAAGCTGTTCCCTTTGTCGAGATGGTTGTCGCCCATTCATCCATACTTACCATATCTGCCATTAGCTTTGAGAGAGTAAGTGTCACATTTGCAGTAATATAAAGATAAAAACATTATATATATATTTATAATGATATTTTAGGTTAACACGAATATTCAATTTATTATTTATTTACTTTTATTTTATTTTATGTCTTTCCATCCCTTTCCCTCTATAATAGTATTATGCAATTTGTAAACCACTAAAAGCTGGTTACAAATGTACAAAATTGCGAGCGTAAGTCCACTTTATTTCTATTACTTTGTCTTATATTTCCCGAAACATTATCTCATAATAACCACTCTTTTTGTCTCAAATTTCCATTATTCGACTCAATAATAGTTTAATAATAATAGCTATCGTTTGGATTATAGCTATACTATCGACGTCTCCCATGTTATACATAACAGAGCTCTCGTTTGTTGAGTACATTGACGGCAGTATAGTACCAGTATGTCTGAGCRGAGTAGAGGGTCTCATAGAGACACTGTATTTGTTCATAATTTTGGTCACATTTTTTGCATTACCATTCCTCATACTAATAGTTTTGTATGGATTGATAGCCAAAAATTTGGTGATGGATTCCCGTTTGGTTAGTTCCAGTTCGGAACAGTACCAAATGAGACTCCGCAAACAAGTGGTCTTCATGTTAGCCGCTGTTATGTTAAACTTTTTCATATGTTTGCTACCATTCCGTATATTTTCGCTTTGGATTCTTGTCGTACCAAAAGAAAAAGTCGATGAATTAGGAATGGAAGGTATGTCTGAAAATTAAAGACAATCAACACATGCCATACATATTATAAGATCTCTATATAGACTTAATACACTACTATACCGTACTTACTATACTTTTTCAGTCAATATTATATTTTATGTTGTTTTATAACTGAGATTTTTGTTATAACTATTATTATATAAAAAACAAAATGAAATGAACATACAATACATATATTTTTCAATTTCTTTTTTGATCTCTTAATTAAATGCTATGAAATAAAATGATTTTTGTTTTCCTTATTATAGGGTATTATAATGTGCTCTACTTTTGTCGTATATTACTCTACATTAACAGGTATTTCGTATATAATATTATTTATATATATATAATAAACAATAATGTGATTAATATTTCTTTTATTGCTCTCTTTCTTTCTATCTTTCTATATATCTTTGTCTGTCATTCTGTCTTATAAATAAATATAATGTTGAATACACTTATGTTGGCTACCAGTGCGACAAATCCCATACTTTACAACATATGCAGCTCTAACTTTCGTCGAGGATTTTGCCATACATTAGGCATAAGAAAGATTCACAAACGACTACAAAGAAGAAATGGCACATCTGTTCACACGTCTATCACTTTGGGGAACAACAGCTCCATTAAGAGCAGATCCACACATTCGTCGTCCAACTATAATAATAATAACTATAATTATAATAATAATAACAACAACGCTCTTAGCGCTAATAATAGTATTATTGTTAACAATTGTGATGCCGTTAACAATACCGCCGGTGCCAATACAACAGCACAGATATATTCAAATGATAAGTCAAATATTATATATAAAACACACAACGGAATCGGTACTCATATTCAAAAAGTGGTTAACACTCTCATAACTGTCCAACGAAACGGACACAGAGTTTAAAAAATGTTATTAAATTATTAAGAAAATCGTATATTTTTTATTAATCAAATTATAATAAATAACAAATTATATTTATATTATATTACAGGGTATATACTGTATAAATATATATTTTATTTTTATCTAAAAAAATGTTAATACAGTATATAAATATCCATTATTCTTAATTATGAGTAAAGTTTAAATGATAAAATCAAATAACTTATTTATATTTATAATTATAAAAATATTTTTTTTGCTTGATATTTGTATATATAATATAAAAAAGATTTACTCTATTGATATATAATATCAATTATAAATGTTATATTTGGATATCAACTAATTGAGTGCTAAGACAAATAAATTTTAATTATAAACTATGCGTTACATAACATAGTCATTAATTTACTATTTATTTTGATTATTATACAAAAACATATATAATAAAAAAGAATATATATATATATTATAATTAATATATTACATAAATAAATACAAATTAAATATGAAATAAATTTATAAAACTAAATTATAAATAATAATAAATTTTGCATAAATTATTAATTGTTAAAAAATAGAATTTTTACAAAAGTAAAAAATAGCTCATAATTTTTTAAAATTATAAATTATCTATAAATAGTATAAATTAATCAAAAATTAATGAATTTAAAATATTTCAACTTTATGTATACTATCTCTATAAGAATATATGGTAATTAAAAAATATATAATTTATACAAAAAATTATATCAATTAATATTACACTTAACTAATTCAAATCCTTCGCCACAAACCATTACATGCCATTCGTTTACATCACTAAATCGGTAATTGTATATAAAATCATAAAATTTGTTTTATAAAAATATTTCACAACTAAATTGTTAATCAATTTTACCTGAAAAATGCTACAATTGATGATATGTCTGCAATGCTTGATATGATGAAACAAATTGGTTCTAATGATAGACTTTTTGAATAAACATTAGAGCTATACTTCCAGATGATAATCCTCTGGTCAATGGATGCGCTTAATAGTTGACAATCAGATACTATTTTAATTCCTATTAATAAAAATTTAAATTATAATTTAATTATAACTGAAAATTAAAAAATATTTTCTTTATATTACCTGTAATTTGTGATAAATGTGTATATTTATCGTTAACACTTGAAATTAGGATTATATCGTCGGATAATATTGAAAATAATGATAAAACTAATGTATTATCGTCACCACCCGTTACTATTATAAATAATTCATCTAATAATTAAAGATTTAAAAATTATAATTTAAAAATCTTAATAATCGAAAATATTTTTAAATATTAATTATTAATATACCGTTTAAAGAGTATACAAATAATGCATTAATTCCTGATTCATGTAAACGCATCTCAAATACAGATTTTAAATCAATTTGTTTGCTCTGAAAGTCATTATCTGATGATATCATTTGTCCGGTAAATCCTGAACCGAGAAACCAGAGTCTTAGTGTTCCGTCATTTGAAGTCGTAATAACATGCGATTGATTGACAGTTAATACACGTAAAACACAACTCGTGTTATATGAAGTAGTGTTTAATAAATAAAATATCATTAAAGTCGAGTCAAATATAAATAAACGAAACGATGAGTCGGAACAGGCAGTTGTGATCAGATATTTATTGTCATTAATTTTACTAATATTTGCGTCTAAATACCTAATCTGTGGATTAGATATTAAAGATAAGTTATTTATCTTTTTAGTTCTATTTTGAATTATATCGGAATCCCATAAAAATTTATTGAATAATTGTTTGCAAAATAACTGATTATCTTTCAATTGAATGGACCAAAGTATGAGTTGAGTCCGTCCGCCAACAGAAACCATAAAACAAGAGTCGGAAGATTTGTGTGATAAACATCCAGTTATGGCACATATATTGGATATATGACCAAAAAGTTGAGTCTCCAGTTTAATCAATTTTGACCGATGATTATAATTACCAATATGTATGATATTGTCTTCACCAGCGATTGAAATATAAGTATTTAAAGAAGTGGTAAATAAAATATGACAGCAATTAATTTTTTTCGTGTGAAATGTTTTGTTAAGAATGATATTGGAGTTGACATTAATTTTAGACAACTTTTTCCGATAACACAACAGGTTTTCATGTTTAGTATAACATAAGTTATGCTGATTTTGATGGTTAATATAATCCCACGATCGATGACCGCCACCGCAGTCAACACTCTCTATAAATCTTTGTTGTATTTCATCCCAAATGACAAAATTTCGTGATTCAAATCCATAGACATATGACAACTGATTAGTCGTGTCATCGAAGGTAAAGTTTCCAATCCATTCCATGTCTGAAAAGATTCTGTACGCTCTAAGAAGTATACAATTTTGATCTTCTAATAGAAATTCGCATATTTTACCATTTCTTCCACTAGAATACATGAATTTCGACTTTGGTTTGAGTTTAATAGCTGTCACTCCATTTGATCCATGCAAATGACGGAACTCTTTAAAAGGCTTCTCTTCATTGATTTTGTAGACAAAAACACTACCACATCGATCACCTAAAATAAGTAATTTCTCATAAATTAATCCATCGACTGGCCATCGATGACGGCTATTGGGTAAAACATATTCACTAATAGTGGTCATAGTATTCACTGACATGACTTTGACAACACCATTGAGACCACAACTAACAAAATGATTGCAATCAACAAAACAAACGCTAAGAACTTTCGATGTATAAACTCTTTTGACGCAAATGTCTAATGGATTGTCTAAATTCATTTTAATGGTAACAACTGCTATATCACCAAACTTTGATCCCAAAACTATTTGGTTGCGCTTAATGTTAACATCGAGTGCACAATAAGTGTTTAACATATAATTATAATCACTGTTTTTAATGCTTTTGCTGTCAGTATTTGTCGGCAACAGATAAATATCACCACTGATTGTCACACAAAATATGTAAAGCAGTTCTTGTTGGCCGATAAAGACTAGTTGTTTTGGATGTATATTACTCATTATTAATGGATCAAATGCAGTGATAGTATTTTGTATATCACAACAGATTATAGAAGCATCACTGCCGCCACTAAACGATATCATGGATTCATTATCGACAGCCAATGACCAAATACTTGAGTTTCGGTGTCCATTCACGCGTTGGATCAGTTTTTTGGCGGTTAAATCCCAAAAATACTGTCCACCATCTTCACCAACACTGATAACTATAGGTCGAGGTTTTGTAATAGTGATTACATTCCATATACGGGATAAATGACCGTAAAATACTTGGTTTAATGAAAATCTATTTCTTTCCCAAAATCCTACCGATTCTGAACCTAATTCACTATTGGCTGTCCAAATGCGGACACTTCGGTCATCTGACGCCGAAACTAAAATGTTAAGCGATTTATTGTAATTTAATGCAAATATCACTCCGTCGTGTCCTTCAAGTCTCTGTTGTATTTGTGTTTTAAAACTATTGTCAACTTGTGTTTGAAACCAATTCCAGATCACAATCTGTTTGAAAACAGTACCCGAAGCCAACACAAATCCTTTTGGTTCTTCAGATATGTACAGAAGTTCTGCTGAATATAGTAAACACTTGTCTTCTCCAGAGATGGTATTTATTATAACATTTTGCTGCCAATCGTAAACAATCACTTCATTGTGTGCTTTGACTACAAAAGCCAAACTATGGGTTAGTCGTATCGAAAGAAGCCAATCATAAAAATTGTGTCCAACGAGTAGATCATCAAATGTGTAGACATTTGTGGATAAAATATATAAAAACTTATATAAACTTAAAAAACGATTACCAGAAATGGCAACTATTATCTCAATGTGTGAATCTGTTTGACTATTGAGGTATGTATTGACACCCGTAATGACAAATGAAGTGAAAATAGGTTTACTTGATATCAATGCTTTCAAACCATTGTCGCCGGTTTTAAACACATGAAGAGTGGATCCAATGCCTGATAAAAATAGTGATAATTTTAATGATTAACAATTTGAAAGACTTATTAAATAAAATGTCAAAAATACAGACCAACGAAGAGAAATGGTTTCTCAAAAGTCAGAGCTCTTATGTGACATTTGGTGACAATAGGCTTGAAGTTGATTACACTTTTAGACATTGTTTGACATCAATTGTCACATCAATTCAAGTAATTACTAATTATTATTTATATTTATATTAGTCATCAACAGTAATACGTGACTGAATTAGTCATCAATTTGTTATATCATTCAAACCAATAGTCAATCCATACATACGGTGTGTAACACATGTGATGTCAATGTTATTGTAAACATCGATGCAATCAATATAAAACTTATAGATTCATATGGTGGTGGGATTAACCAATAGTGGATATGGGAAAAGGGTAAGCACTGAGGGGAAGCATTAATACATATAAAGCTATCAATAGTGATTGCGCAATAACATTGAAATAAAAATTTTAGAGTTTCCAACAAAAATATAAAAAATAAGGAAAGTTGTATTTTGTTTTTTATATAATTTTAAATTTTTATTAATTACTAATTTCTTTAATTTTTAATTTTTATTAATTTAATAATAAATTTATATTTAATTAATAAGTTATTTATCAAAATTTGTTTTATTTTTCTAAAATATTATTTAGTACTCCAAATAAAATATAATTTGGTCACTCTAATTTTTCATACTCTATGATCCCATCATATGAAACTATAAGTTTTATATTGGATGCAATGCATGTATTGAGACGTCGTTTATTGACATCACTTAGTCCTCCATTAAATGCAATAACCACTCGTAAACTTATGACTCTTATCAATAATAGTACTAATATTTGTTAAATATTTATTGTAAATTTGGGTCTTTTATAAATGAGTCAAAATATTTATAAGTCTTTATTGCAGTTTTCCTGTCATTTGTATGCAGGGTTTTTTTTAGAGACCACACATGTGGTAAATTACAGTAACGTAACTAGCGTTGCCAGCTAAAAAAATAGTAAATACTAAATATTTTATAAATTATATTTTAATTATTATTTAAGTGCTCTAAATCTTTTATTTATTTATTATTATTATTATTAATTATTATTACTAATTATTATTATTATTATTATTATTATTATTATTATTATTATTAATTATTATTATTATTAATTATTATTATTATTATTATTATTATTAATTATTATTATTATTAATTATTATTATTATTATTATTATTATTAATTATTATTATTATTAATTATTATTATTATTATTAATTATTATTATTATTATTATGAATGACAAGTTATTAGCCATAAATTATGACAAAAAATAATAAATTATTTTCACATTATTAAATACCTTAATACATCACATTAATGACCTTTATATAACAATAACACTACAATATAATAATACCGACTTACCAAAAATAAAACCGACTTTTATATCGAAATACCATGTTCCCATAGAAATATTGTTTTTTAATTACCGTGTTCCCATATATTTTTTTTATTTTATTATATTATAATTAAGATAATTTTAGGTACAAAGTATAATATAATTAATAATGTAACACGGTACTTATTTAAAAAAAACTATTTTTATAGGAAAACGGTACTTATTTTTAAAAATATTTTATGGGAATTTAACTAATTTAAAATAATTTTGTATGGGAACACTGATTATTTAAATATTAATATATATTGATATACACATGTAGGTATACTTACCTTTACATTAGTATGAAATATATATATCATGATTATACATTAGTTTAAAACAGCATTTTGTTATAAATATTGAAATAATTAATTATATTATATATAAAATAATTAAATACCAAATCAATTTTGAAGCAAATATTTATATATCGTATAATAATGGTTTAAAACAAATTAGTGATAAATTTAGTGTAATATGTGAACAAATAAAATTTTGAAATTTTTAAATAATAACAGTCAACAAAATTTATTTCAAAATTCAATTTTGATTGAAAAAATGGTTAAAATAACTAATAGTGATATCAACTTTTCCATACATATTTTTATGTATTCTTAGTTTTTTTACTTTGTATATTTATAAATAAATTATTTAAAATTATTTTTCCTACAAAGCCTGATATGTACTAATAGTATGGTTTTTTATTTAGAGTTTTACGGTATAATTTTATAAATTTATAATCATTATATTTAGTGACATTATTGATGTCCATTTTGGTTGTTATTAGTATTTTATATACTTTATATTAAAATAAATTCATTCTTTAAATGCATTACTAATCATAGTATATTTAATTAAATTTTTTTTATAAAAAATAAGTGTAAAGTTTTTTTTGTTGGCAACACTAGATAGTATACTGTGTATTAAAAACTCTATGCATTGATATATACTGTATGCTTATATGCACTAATCGTATATGTGATGTCATTTTTACATATACATTGATACCACATGTGTGATTGGCTGAACCACCTCGTAGTGCTTTACTTAATACACTGTTTGTATGTGATTTGTGTTTTCACTCATTTGACAACACATTCATTGATTTGTCGATCAATTGATTGATCCGTAAATACATTGGACACTGACATTGATGACAACAACGATGGCCAACGCGGCGGTCACTTTGCGACGAAACCGAAAGGGCTGTACGAGCGAAGAGTTTTATCTTTGGGCGGATGAGCCGTTTGAAGAGATGGACTCAACCATTGCTGTCCAACAGTTCATTCAGCAAACTATACGCAAAGATCCGGCAAATATCGATGAAATACTGATGGCTCCCGAAGGTCAAGAAGAGGGCGGTTGGAAGTATGAACACTTACGACAATTCTGTCTCGAACTGAATCGGTTGGCCGTCAAACTACAGGCCGAGTGTTCGCCGCAAACGTGTACACAGATGACGGCCACCGAACAGTGGATCTTCTTATGCGCCGCACATAAGACACCGAAAGAGTGTCCGGCTATTGACTACACCCGACACACGCTGGACGGCGCCGCCTGTCTTCTCAACTCAAACAAGTACTTCCCTTCCAGAGTGACTATCAAAGAGTCGTCTGTAGCCAAACTCGGATCAGTTTGTCGTCGAGTGTACCGTATCTTCAGTCACGCCTACTTCCATCACAAATCACTTTTCGATGAGTTCGAGAACCAGTCCTTCCTTTGCAAACGATTTACTGTTTTTGTTACTAAATATAATCTCATGTCTAAAGACAACCTCATTGTCCCGATTCCTGGTCTCGACAACACTACTACTACTACTACTACTACCACTACTACTGTAACCACCGGTGAGACAGAGGCTTAACACCAGTTACTTAATCCATATTTTGATTTGAGTTTTATTCTTAAATTTATCAACTTTTATATGCTTTCAAAATATATTAATATTTAATATTATTTATCTATAAATTACTGTAATTTTCAATTGTAATAAACCCTGAGTTAAAATAAAGTATTATATTATGAATGAAATGAATATATGGTTAGAGAATGTGACCAAAGATACTGTCGATTACTTTGAAAACTCATCCGAAGAGATGGCCAAATATCCACACAATATTTGTATAAACTTTTTTGACGCAAATGTCTAATGGATTGTCTAAATTGATTTTAATGGTAACAACTGCTATATCACCAAACTTTGATCCCAAAACTATTTGGTTGCGCTTAATGTTAACATCGAGTGCACAATAAGTGTTTAACATATAATTATAATCAATGTTTTTAATGCTTTTGCTGTCAGTATGACTATTAAGTAATTATTACATTCAAATAAATTGAAATGATTTGTCTGTTATATAATATTTTTGTGACAAATTCTTGTGTTTGTGACGAACTGAGATCTATTGTAATATTTTTGATAAAGTCTTGTTTCTCTAAACAAATTTCATCCAAATCTATACTATTATATAATTAGTTCAATGTTTGTGTCAAATATCTGTGACGCAAACAATTACTTTTAATGTTTCGGCGATTATTAATAATTTTAATTTATTAAATAAAAAAATTAATAAATAAAATATACTGTCTATAATAAACTGTAAGCGCGTAACGCGTTGCACGTGGTTTGAGCTAACTATTGACACACATTTGATTACCTGTAGATCTAATTATTTGATCGACAATTTGCCAAATTTTCGTTCATTAGTTTTGGTTGTCATCACTTCCGTTGAATGACAACATATAATGAGACAATTCCAGCCTTTTTCCGCACGAATACTAAAATAATAATAATAAACAAAATTGATTTAAATCTGTATTTGAGATGCGTTTACATGAAACAGGAATTAATGCATTATTTGTATACTCTTTAAACGGTATATTAATAATTAATATTTAAAAATATTTTCGATTATTAAGATTTTTAAATTATAATTTTTAAATCTTTAATTATTAGATGAATTATTTATAATAGTAACGGGTGGTGACGATAATACATTAGTTTTATCATTATTTTCAATATTATCGGACGATATAATCCTAATTTCAAGTGTTAACGATAAATATACACATTTATCACAAATTACAGGTAATATAAAGAATATATATATATATATATCGATGACATATTCATATGAACCAACTTTGTTAATGATTACGCCTTTTCTAACTCATCTCTCAATTGAAGAGCAGGTTTTAATGGATGTGTTGTCATCTGCGGTAAGTTGTCTTTTGATGCTTTTTATAATGTATAAAAGCAATGTTGAATAGATATTATCCATCGAAGATAACTTGAATCCATCGACTTCTTGGATGTAATTCCTAATACAAAAATATATGTTGTCATCGCTGATAGTACTTAATTGATTGTCTTCATCAAGAAGTGAACGCTCTTTCTTAGACTCAAACACTGATAAATCGTTATTATTGTCGTTATTATAATTATCTTCACTTTGAGATTCTTGTTGTCTTATAAACCCTGTATTAGTAGTACAACTCTGTCTATAATTATCATTAAACAAGTCATCACTACATGAGATATCATTACAAGACTCTCCAATGTATTAAATTCATTGCTACAAAAAGTACCAAATAGTAGAATCAAATAATTGTTTTGTTTTGCAATACAATAGCAAATATTGTGATTGTTTTGTCAATTGAGTGACAGTTTATACTTTAAAGTCAACAATCAATTGAATAATTGCAAAGAAATGTGTTTCAAATATTAATGTTGTCATCAATTGGTTAAGTATTGGCATAACTGGTGATACAATACATACAACAATGGGATCAATAGTATTGACCACTTTGTCTGTATTTCTCGGTATGTTCTTTGTGTTTATGGGATCAATTAAAGTGAGCCAACAGGTCAACCGTGAAATGCATCGGGAAATCCGCCGCCAGTTTGTCCAATACGCTAAAGTGTTGCCATTGGCCGCACAACTCGGCTTTAAAGTGTCGCCAAAATATTATCGATTAGTTATCGGTTGGACTGAATTAGTGGCCGGTTTGACGTTAGCTTTCATACCGGGAAAACTAAAGTTGGTCTCCAATGTCCTACTCGTTGGCATCACATTCGGCGGTATTTATACTCATGTCATGATTGGCGACAGATTTGAGCGTAAGTTTTGCAATCAATTGATAATTACTGAATAAATTTGTTTTGATTTTAAAGGAATCGCTCCATCGATTGTCTTCACTTTAATGCTTTGTTGTCGACTCATTGTCTCATATCAAGTGAAAAGACGTGAAGTCAATGAGGAGTTGAATATTAAAAAATTGAAGACACAATCACAGCCACAATCGGTCAGCGAAGAGAACAAGAAAGAGAAATAACTTATATATGATTTAGTGATTTGTGAACTCAACCCAAAACTATTGACATTATTTTTGCCAAAAACTTGTGCTCATCTTTGCTCTTAATTAACTGATATTTATCTCAACTTTTAGGCTATTGTTTGCCTCAAAATCTACTTTAAATGTTTGAATTGTTTGGTGATTCTCGACGTATCGGTTCCGATGAGCCGTGTTTTGTTGTGGCCGAATGTGGTCAGAACCATAACGGCGACATCGACTTAGCCATCAAAATGATAAATGAATGCAAGCATACTATTGGTGCCGATTGTGTTAAGTTTCAGAAAAGCAATTTAAACGCAAAATTTAATGCCAAAGCTCTCAACAGACCCTACAATAGTATTCATTCGTGGGGTAAGACATACGGTGACCATAAAAGACATCTTGAGTTTACAAACGAACAATTCATTTATCTAAGAGATTATGCCAGAAATGAAGGCATACTTTTTACGGCATCGGCAATGGATAGCCAATCGCTTAAATTTTTAGCTCAATTAGACGTACCCTTTATTAAGATCGGTAGCGGAGATGTTGACAATTATCCAATGCTTGAATTGGCCGCTAATTATAATAAGCCATTGTTTGTGTCAACCGGAATGCATGACTTAAATGTTGTAAAAACCGCCTATAATTTGATTTCAACTATTAATAGTCAGATCTGTCTTTTGCATTGTGTGTCAACATATCCGACACCATATTGTGATATAAATCTTAAAGTTATCACTGATTATCAACATTTATTTCCTGATGCTGTCATCGGATATAGTGGTCATGAAATTGGTGTCGAAGTGAGTTTAGCTGCCGTAACACTTGGAGCTAAAGTATTAGAAAGACATCTAACATTGGATAAGACTATGAAAGGTACCGATCATTCTGTATCTTTAGAACCGCAAGAGTTCCGACAAATGATTACTCAAATCCGTAATATAGAGTCAGCTCTTTCGGGACACAAACCAAAGTACAGACAAGAGTCTGAATGGATGTGTTATCGAAAACTCGGTAAATCTGTTGTCGCCAAACAATTTCTGCCAAAAGGAAGTGTTCTCACATTAGACTTAATTGACATCAAAGTCGCCGAACCTTTCGGTATAAATGCCTATAAAGTGTTTGATATAATCGGAAAAATACTTAATAAAGACGTTGATTGTGACGAAAGCATTCAATTTGAAGACTTGTCTCCAAATAGTGAATAAAATAATTGAATATTTCATGTATTTCATGACATTTTTCTAACCGATCCTATTATGTCGTTGTGGTCTTAAAATATCACTTTTATGACATTAGATACACATCTTTCTGTAGTACATGAGTTGGGCTTATATTATACAAAACAATAAATTAAATGTAAATTTAAAAACAATTATTAATATAACTATTATTTTATTTAATATATTTACAATACTGTATATGTTTATAATACATGATTATTTATACACAAGTAAAATATTATTTGGTTATACAATACAAATAGATTACAGTAATTTTAGATCTAATTATTAATTATTATATAAATAAATTATAAACATTTAGGTCAGTAATACTAATTTTTAAATAATATGTCAACATCTATATAAAGATATATAGTTTTTAATTATAATCACTTTAATACTGTTTCTAATTACATGAGAATTTAGTTAAACTTTTATAAAAATATTATTTGTCGAAAATATTAGTAGTTTTATAAAATACTATATAATACTTAAATAATATTATTGATTTCCAAAATAAGATTATGTAACAAATAATATAATAAAATGCTTTAACGTATAAACACTTTAAAATTAACTTTCGTATAACAATTATTAAGTATTAATTAATATAACAATAACAGTGATTGACTAACAAAGTGAAGTCATATCTGTCCTAAATTAGTGATACGTCCGTCACATTTAGGTTCAAGTTTTCTTAACTCTATGTCTAAATCGATATACTCTTTCTTATCGATAGCCAGTGTTTTAGTACCTCCACTGCAAACCAATGTCTTGCTGTTGGCTTCGGGATCAGCTCTCAACTGTTTTACAGACTCTAAGTAGTTCTTGACTAATGTAAAGATATCCAAACAATGCTCTTTAGGTATCAATACTTCACATTCTTTTAGCACATAATAACCATCTTTTCCTTTGTGTAAAAACTCTTCAGTAACCAAACGGTAGTGTCGTTTCAAATCGAGATTTTTTCGGCCAATTTTTATTGTATTGATATCAATACGTTTACCAATCGGTTTGTGCGAATCAAACTCGAACCTAATTCGAGATATTTGTGCGAAACTACCGTCTAATATAGGCCATCGACATAGACTACACTCGAGTGCAGTCAATAGTTGATGACCCGTTATATTTAATACTACCAACTCATCCATCATCGGTAAAATGCGGACCAAATCACGAAATTTGAAGTCACCCTTTGAATGTATTTGATCGCTTCGGAACATACCTGAGTTGAGAAGCACTACATCTGCTCCGGTACTTATCAAACATATATCGCTAATGAAATTTCCTAAATTTGTTTCGCGATTACGAATCGATGCGAATTTTCCGTCCAAATCGACCCGCATTTCACACAAAACATTGTCCATCTGTGACTCGACAATCAGTGAATACGGTTGGAGTTCATGTTTGATGTCCTCATCTTCTTTGAAGTCATAAGAATTAACATTTATCTCATTACAGTCGATATCATACTTGAAGTCATTATCAGTAAACTTAATGTCAATTTTACTGAATTGTCTGAAATCAGTTCCACTTTTAACACAAAGTTTATTATTAATAGTACGGATCTGATAGTCGTGATCGTGTCCGCCTAATATCAGATCAATTTCAGACACATTTTCGGCCAAAAGACAATCATTAGGCCAACGCATGTGAGTCAATGCGATCACAAAATCAACGCTTTCCTAAAAAAAAGTTGTCATTTAATTATTCAATAAATTTAATAATTTATTAGTTTGGTTACCATATTCTTCAAACGTTGAGCTAATTTTCTGCCCTCAGATACAAAATCCCGATAAACATAGCCCTCGGGTAAGGCATCGATTAGCCACTGTTCCTCTACTAAACCTATTATCCCAAACTTGAAAATATAAATAAAGAAATTAAATTAATTACTGTTAGTTAAACTTATGTAACAAATTGTTTTAAATTAGTAAAATAAACAACAATTTCTGATTATTATAAAATCAAATTAAATAAATGATTACTCTTTTATCATTCCTATCGATTATATGCCATATGTTTGCATTATTAATGGGACGGTTAGTCTTAGGGTTGTAGACATTGCTCATAAGCCACGGAAAGTTAGTTCTTTGCATAAATGAATTGAGATAATCGACACCAAAGTCTAAAGGGTTGACCAAAAAACTTATGTTTAATTATAATAATAATAAATGAAACAAATTTATGTAATAAATAAAATTGTAAACTGTCTTCAAAATAAAGTTTAATATTATAATAATATACGAACCGAACTCATGGTTCCCAAAGACAGCACAATTGATACCCAAAGCGTTCAAAACGGGTATCATTTGTTCGCCTTTAGTGAATGTACTCACTGTTTGGTCACAATATAAATATATTATAAATATATATATCATATAAATAATAACAATTCAATTCAATTACTAACTGATTGACGGAGAGATTATATCACCACTGAATAAGACTAAAGGATCGCAATCGCGGTATGAGTTAAAAGCAGTGACCATTCGGGCGGCACCTCCTGAGGGCTCATCAATACGAGACTCTATATTATAACAGTCATTGAAGTGTAATATCGATACAATTGATGTCTTATTAGTTTTAATGATAATATCATTATCACTGATACTCTTATTAATTGTATTATTGAATGTCTCATCAAATGCAGGCATTTATTTGAAATTTTGTTGTTTTTTAAAAATAACACAAATTTTGATATTTATTTCTTAATTGAATTTTATTTTTTTCAAATTTTATTATTATATTGAATGTAATTGTAAATTAAAAAAAAAACAACAATTATTTGACTAATAATTTGAAACAATAGTAAACATAAATATCACGCAATTGTTTCAATTATTCAATAATTAGTGAAAATATTTTTACAATATTTTTCATTACAAATAAATACAAATATTATGAGTTTATTCTCAAAGAAAGAGAGAGAGAAACAAATAAAGCTATAAATAGTGATTTAATTTTTTAAATTTTTAGTCAAATATAATGAAATGTAATTTGAAAACTACTCATATTTTGTGAGTTATTTTCAATTGACAGTTAGCTCTGCTTTTATTACGCAAAACTAATTTACATCACAAACCAAACCAATACACTAATAGAGAGTTATATTGAATATAATGAATATATTGAATAAATAAACAAAATATTTGTTATGTGAGCTAACTGTGCTCTAAACACCTGCGCATCAAATATAACTGTATTTTTATATATTAAATAAATAAATATTTAGTACAGTATTATACAATGTATTATATAATATTATTTATATTAATCTAATTTAAAAATAATTAAGAATTTAATTATTTTATATTTAATGTGATAATTAAAATCATTTAACATATAAATGCTAATATTTTTTTTATTACCGTACTTTACACTAAAATTTAAAAAGTTTGATAATTATTATTAAAAATTTAAAAATATACTTTATTAGTTTTTAAAAAATAAGCAACCATAAATACAGAGTATAAAATATTAATAAATAATTACATTTGAATTTATTATTTTTATACTTATACTCTTACATTAATATAATTTATAAACAATTATTTTTCTTATTAATTATCGATAACATTAGTTATTTGGATTTTTAATTATTAATAATTCGCTAAATATATTATTAATTAATACACTTTATGACAATAATTTTACAATATTTTATATATATTCAACACAAAAATATATAAACTAATAGTTTTTATTTAATTTTAATACTGTTTTAAATTAAACGTATTTATTAATTTATTTTTGTTTTGTTTAGTAAGAATCAATCACAGAATAAAGTAAAAATAGGAATAAACAGTTTTGTGAAAATAGTAAAAATAGTATACATTTATAATAAAATTATTAAATGAATTATTATTATTATCTCAATTGGTTTGAAATAATGACTTTTTAAAGCTCTTTACTGACGACCGGATCATTTAATTTGCTAAAGTATTTGAGTTTTTCTTCGGGATTCGGTATAATAGTATCGCCACCCGGTTTCCAACCGGCCGGACACACTTCTCCGTGTTGGTCGGTATACTGGAAAGCCTGTACCAAACGTAGGGTCTCGTCTACCGATCGGCCAACCGGTAGATCATTCATTGTTATTTGCCGTAGGATTCCTTTGGCATCGATTATAAATAGACCCCTAATTGTTAAAATTATTTAGTATTTAAAAAAAAACTGTCAGTAATTTATTTATAGAGTAACCAATAATACCTAAGCGTATGTCCCAAATCTTCTAAATAAACGCCATAATCTATATTAATGAAAAAGTTTTCAAAATATATTAGAAATATTTATTTAATTTATTTAAACCTATTATAAAATCGATAAGAATTTAGATATTTCTATATATTTAAAGAAAAAAAACAATTGAAAACTTTTGCAATTGTTTTGAAATGAAACAAACCTTTAGAAATCTGATGGGTTTGATCTGACAGAAGAGGAATATTAAGTGCTCCCAAACCTCCCTGTTTTCGGGGAGTTTTGATCCTTAATAAAAGAATAATTAAAACTACTATACAATTGATAAATCAATTAAATAGGATGTAATACCAGGCCAAGTGTGTAAATGGCGAATCAACCGAAACGCCTACCACTTCTGTATTAATAGATCTGAACTCTTGGATTCGATCACTAAAAGCCATTATTTCTGTCGGACAGACAAATGTGCTAAAAGTAGAAGAAAATGTCAATTATATGTGATTATCACTAAATGGTAATTAAAATATGTTTTGTTGTCTTACAAGTCGAGGGGATAGAAAAAGAAGACCAGATATTTGCCTCTGAATTGAGACAATTTAAACTCTTTGAACTCTCCATTCACTACAGCTGTTCCCTCCCAATCGGGCGCCAACTTTGATACTAATTAGACAATTATCACTAAATTAATTACAGCTATAATAATCACAATCAGATGCCATACTTTGTGTTTTACTATAATGCAAACGATGACCACCGCTGCCAGTACTTCGAGTCTCCTGCGGATACACGTGTCCGCCGGCGTATGAGTAGCACTGGTCCGATAGGTCTCGTTGTGCATCACCGGTGCCGATGATGGCCGACAATGTGGTCAACACAAGTAGTGCACCAAATGCTAACATTTTGTTGTTTGTTTCAGTCAATAGATTTAAAGGCACTTTAATTAAGTGACTATTTGTTTGATATATTGACAAAAACAGCGCTAACTTTCACTACATGTTTGTAGTGAGACGTGTATTGTATTACAGTAACAAAAAGGCCAACACTTATCGCATCAATCAATGCTATGGAAACCATAAATTTAGAACCTTTTCAACTCATGTAATAATTATAATTATTTTGCACTAAAATTTAATTATGATTTCACTGAAAAACCATTACTTAACAAATAATAATAACTTTTTGACAAATCATCATTAATTTAAAATTGATTATTAGACAAAAATATCCAATAATTCACATAAAAATATATTCAACTTTTATTAATTTCAATCATATATATTATACATAATATGTATTACATATGCATTTATTACAATAATTATTGTATAATTCATCTTAAGTTTTCAATCTTTACTATTATATAACTTATCAAATAAGTTATGACATAACATATAATTTACATTTGTATTATAGTAGGTGTTATATACAGTATATATTGTATAATAGATTTTACTTCCCATTAGATTAAGTATAAGTTTGTCTTAAACTTTAGCGTCAACTCTCTGTTGATAAAATAATAGTTACTATTATCTAATATACAATTAAATCATATATAATAATAAGTAAAATAGTTAAAAATAAAGCTAAATATATACAGATTACGGTACAAAAAGTATATTATATATTGTAAATCATAACTAATCAATGATCAGAGTTTACCAAAAGTTTTGATGACAATACCGTAGAAAAAGAGTTCTTCTCTGAGCCAACAGTCATATGAATACCCAATATATAAGAAAACAATTTATCGGAATCGATATCATCGGGAAGTTTGGTAAGAAATTGGGCCAAATATATGAAGTCTAAGTTAATCAACTCTTCGTAATACATGGAAAGTATGCCCAATGCGGCTCTAAATATGAACTCATCGCCATCGCGAAGAAACAAATCCCAAACACGACTGGCGATATCTAATGGAAGCGATCGGCTAAACAATGTATAGATATAGTCAACTAAATACAGATCGGGACTAAGTTTGTGATCATTGAAATGTTTGTACAGTTTTGGCAAATTTTCTTTAAAAAACTCTTCAAATGTCTTATAATAGGCATTCATAACGGGTTGGTTGACGCGGAAGAACGACACCAGCAATGGATTGTTTAACAAATTAGCTAAACATACGAATGCTTGTGCGGACTCCATATTCAAGAGCAGCATTGCCGCCAAAAACGACATTCCCTGAGCGTAACCGATGTCCGGTCGATAAGTCACGTAAGCACCTAACAGTTCGCTGAGTATATCATGATAGGGACCGTTCTCTTGGAAGAGTCCTAACTGTGGAAAAGTACGCGAAACGTCTAATTTAATTAAATCGGCGGTACTTTCACCACAACAACAGTCCTCATTCTCGTGACATTCGGCACTGAGTTTAGCCCAGACTTTCTCCTTTGAGCGACTGACACATTGTTCATAGACATCGTCAATGATGTTCAGATCGTTACCAATTGCCAAAATCCAAAGCCTTTGACGAACAAGTGATGGCACACCAGACCACCACAATTCGTTAGTCTTCTTTTGACTTCTTGTTTTCTGCCAATTTGGAAGTATCTCTTCGTTCCACAGTTTTATTGCTTCGATGACCTGTTCCTCTAATTGAAGTTGTTTTTCCACCAATTTCTTCATCACTTTCATTTCTTTCTGTTTTTTCTTACGGGTCTGTCGTATCATTTCCTCGAATTCTTGTTTGTGTTTCTTGTCTTCTTCGTGTGGTTTGGCCGGAAGATTAGACGGACGGTTCTCCAGTATTAATGCTGTCGTCGATGAGATATTTGCACAATTGTTGCCAATATTATGGTTATTATTATTATTAGCAATTGTTATGCTATTATTACTGCATTTCTTAACTTTATTAATAAGACTTTGAAACGATAGAGTAAACAATTTCTTTGGCTTTGAGTCAACAAGAGATTCAGTGTCATCTAAATTGAGTGATTGGACACTTGAGTCCACATTTGATATGTTATCAGTGCTGTTGTCATCGCTGATAGTACTTAATTGATTGTCTTCATCAAGAAGTGAACGCTCTTTCTTAGACTCAAACACTGATAAATCGTTATTATTGTCGTTATTATAATTATCTTCACTTTGAGATTCTTGTTGTCTTATAAACCCTGTATTAGTAGTACAACTCTGTCTATAATTATCATTAAACAAGTCATCACTACATGAGATATCATTACAAGACTCTCCAATGTTTGCCGAGTATTCATCACAAGATATTGTCTTATCATTAGATTCGTGGATACCTTTATTGTCGTCATTTATGAGACTCGTAAAGCCATTCAACTTCTTGAACCCGTTTTGATAATAATTATTATTACTATTCACACCATTTTTATATCCATTCAGCCCTTTATTGTTGACAAACTTTTTCTGTAGTAACAATTGTTTGGTGATTGGGTCGTAAACCAGAGGAACTTTATCTAAAACGGCATCAATGGTTGGACTGTCCAGTGTTTCAATGGATACCACAAATCCCTTACATTTGGTCTCTTTGTCGGACAACACCATCGATGATGACATTTCACATGTTTTTCGATTATCTGTGCAGCCATTTGTCATCAATCCATTGGTTGGCAAACAATCCAAGACTTTACCATTGATTGGCTTTATTTGTGATACATTTAAAACTTGTTTTTTCTCATTAAAATCATTTGCATTATTGTTATCATTGATGGCATTAATTGAATGAACAAAATCACACATTCCTTAATACAGATGGTCTGTTGTATGACTTAAAAGTGGTTTATCGGTTCAATTAAAATATGTGATTACAATTTGATGGCAAACCAAATGTCAAACAAACAGTCAATTGGTTTTTAACGGTGTAATGAAGCGATCAAACAACTGATGATTGCCTGATGTCTTGTAAAACAGTTTTTTAGGCCACAAATGACTGGTTTTCTAACATTCCTGACATAAGACCTGAGGCTATCATTAATAGCGATTAGTTTGTGAAACCTATTTAAAAATATTTAAAAATCTTAATAATAATTTATAATCGGTTTTCATTTATTTAACTCATATTAATTCATAAGTAAAAACTACAAAAATGAATCATTTAATTAATATAACTCTCAATTAAAAATTGCTTGTTATAGATATCATATCTCATAAAGTGTGATATCGTATTGTAATGTAAGCTAATTAATAACAATTTCATTCATAACTTTGAAATCATTATATTAATAATATTATTAAAAATAACAGTAAATTTATTTATCATACAAAATAAAACATCGATAACTTACCTATTGATGGGTGAACTTTGAGATTTAATAACAAATATTCATATAAAAGTGGATCAGATATCAACTTATCACAGATATATTTAAATTGTTTTAATTTACAACTATTGTCATTAAACATATGATATAATTATATTTAAAAAATTGTGTCTACAAACACACACACAGTAGTTATCAATAATTTAAAATTCACATAAAAATATTATAAAAGTGCTTAAAATTTTGTAATAATATAAATAAAACATTAATTATTATTATAATCACAAAAAACAAAAGTATATGTTTTCATTTAAATTAAAATATGTTTATAATTAGTATTATAAATAAAAGGCTATAAATTGTAAATATATTTTATTGTCTAAATTGCTTGCGATGTAAATAATATGTGCTGTATATTAATATATGATTTATATATAAATTATATCATATGACAAAACATTACTATATTTATTAAACATATGATATAATGATATAATTATTATTATTATTAACGATATTAAGACAATTATTAAAAGATATTACACTTAATTTGTTTCCAAAACATTCAAATTAAACACATATCAAAAATAAATACAATTTATTATACATATAAAGTAATAATAGTTATTACAATTAATTTAATAATTGTTTTTTCTTATATATAAAATTGTATTACAATTAAGTATCAAATGGTTTAACCAGTGGTCAAATAATAATAATATTAATAATTATAAAAAAAGACAAAATAGCAACACTTATAGTCAAATAATTGCAGTCATAGTTATCAATAGATTGATATGAAAATACATTAATAATAATAACAAATAATAAATTAATGATAATATGATAATCAATTCAAGAGAAAAACATTGAGTTTTCAACAAAAACAGGAAAACTATTGAGTTTTTAGTATTGTTTTAATAGTAATGTATTATTGAATGTATTATAGAATTACTGTATAAACAAGTTATTGACTATTAATGTATTAAAGAGACTCACATTCAATGGCTTTCAATGTATTTACAGTCAAATAACACTTTCGTCACCAATTGTTTCTACAAAACATAAATAATGTTCACAAATGTTATACATATTATTATTATTTAATATACTTTTATAATTTAAATTAGTTTTACGTTATTTATAGTTATATTTGACGTGACATTTACTTCAAGTGTATAAACGCCTTAAAACTGTATTTATTTTGTGATTAAGATATAGTAAACAAAACAGAAGTACTCTATAATAATATGCAGTGATTTTCGTGTCATAACTTTAATCTCACATTTCATACATTTTTCAAATGCCATAAGTTTTTATAATAATAATAATAATAATAATAATAGATATCATGTGAATCACACAACTTGTTTGTATAAAACTATAAACTATAGTATAAAACCAATTATAATTAATAATAATGATTATTATAATTATTTTACTTAATTTTATGTAATTAAAAAAGTTTTCAACTCATCGTTAGAAATAACTGATAATTAATTTAAGAATTTTTCAAAAATAATAATTATTATAAACACAAGTAGTCATAGCTGTAATGCATGAATTAACTTAATATATATATATATATATGCATTAAATTAAATTTTAGACATTCATAATAATATAAATAATTTAACGATAATAATGTTTTTAACTTAATTTAAAGTTTAACAAATACAGTATATAGAGTAGTAATGAATTAAATAGACCATAAAGTATAATAATTTTTTGGTTGCAAAGCAATCAATTGACAAACAAAAATCTCATTTTTTTATTCATACTTATTGTACCGTATATTCACTGTTAAGTTGTAATATTAATTTAATATAAAATTAAATACATTATTATTAGACTGATAATTGTAATGATAATATACAGTACAATGTATTTGAATTAAAGTTCAAATACAATACATTGTGCAAAGTTTATTGAGATAAGGGGTAATAATCTAAAAGTTATTTATTATTATCATTTAAATTAATATTAATACAATCAAAAATTTTAGTGCACTCAAAAATTAATAATTATTAATGTAATACAAGATTGTAAAAAATATATAAATTGTTATAAATTTTATACTTTAAATGTATCGTTAACTTCAATGGTTTACCTGAGGAGTGGACACAAATTTTTAAGATATCTGAAAATCCGAGAACTGGAAGAAGAATTTTTAAACCAAAAACAAGAAATTTAATTTGTGATAAAAATTATTTTTATTATTCAATAGATTTATTTAATTCACTCCCAATTTTTATAAGAAATGAAAATAATTTTAATTGTTATGTACAAAAATGTATAGAATTTTTTTATGTATTTTAATTTATGTAATTCATTAACGCGTTATAATGAATAAACTATTATTATTATTATTACTATTGATATTGTATAAATTATATAAAATGTATTTTACTAAGTTTTTTATATAAGAGTATTTTAAAATCATTACTACTGTAAAAATTTTTTATATAAAAATATAAAAAAAACTTTATATAAATTCATATAAATTAGTATTAAGCTCACAAGTCCAAGTACAGTACATTATATAATATTACAGTATTATAAAAATTATAAAAACTTATTTTTTTATTGTTATTAAATACTTGCTGTTCTTTTATTGTATAAATATTTGAGAGAATCGACAACAATATTAAATAATATACCAAAACATGCGAGAAAAGCCCCCACTTTCCAGATGAGGAATGTATCAATTTGTATGAGATAACCACCCATTAAAGCACCGATACCCAGACCGATACCCTCAAATGCTGCTGACATTATGGCTTGCATTGTTGCATAGCTTCTCGGCTCATAATCACCTGCTTTGGCAATACATACATCTTTATCATCCCTGTTCTCAACATTAAGTTGTTCCCTAACTTTTCTCAATCTCTCATTTTCTTGATTAGCATAATGTTGTGCCAAATCAGTCATTACTGTATAAAAGAGTCCAAATGTTAATCCTTGAGTTACTTCGATGAGTAGGACATCCCAATATGTGTTCCCATAGTTGATAACAAATCCATAGATGAAATAGCGAAAGGCAAAAGCACCCAAACTTATATTGAGTGAAATAGATGGCCCACAATAGTTAAGTATAATGTTGGCAATGATAAAAATAGGCAATTCACCGGCAAAAGACTCGACAAACAGGGCTAACCCCATAAGCAATGTGTCTTTGCCTCTGATTTTTTCAATATATGCAAAATAGTAGGACCAGTGAAAGGCTGTCAACGCACCGGTGATTAAAATAATGACAATGTATTGCATTATCGATGGGTTGTGTCGAAACAGATGAAACACATGTCGAGTAGACTTTGCGGTTGCAATAAATGGTTTTTTCAATATTGTCACCAATGGTTTGTGCTATTAATATAAGTTATTATTTGAAACTATTAATGTATTTGATTTAAATGATATTACTTTTGGTTCAAAAGTTGCAACAATTTCTGAATTATTGTCCTCCGACTGGTTTGTTATGCTCTTAAATTTAAAATACATAAGCATTAAATCGGTTCCTTCAATCACTATAAACATCAGTAGTCCTGGCAATAGATATGGCATTTGAGTAATATATTCATTAATAAGACCGGCGATCACTCCTAAGCACATTAAAAAATACATTACTTTATCTAGATTTATAAAATTGATTGAAATTACATACCACCGGTACCCCAGCCTACAGTTCCCCAAACCCGGTACTGTCCATAACTTTTATTTAATTCTGTTACCTCTTTCATACAAATATAATCATTAAGTGAAATGACAACTCCCTGTCCAGTGTTGGCCAACAATATTAATAAACACAATAATATCCATGAGATTACACCCAATTTAATGTATATTATAAGCAACAGTAGACTATATCCTATGATTGTAACGATTATAAACAATAATAGTATCTTTTTGTGGGAACCGTTGCGGTCAGCAATCGAGCAAAATAGCGGTTTGATTATCGCTACAAGAAATGGTAGTACAAAGTATAGGAGACCAATATCTTCGTAGGTGGCAATGGTATGTGCGGTGGCAAACACTGTCACAAATGGCATAATACCACTCAATGAGCCGAACCATAGAAGATAATGGGCCTTCAGGATAGACATATTGCCGATGATATGCTCTTTAATTAGAGATACAGTAAGTGATAAACACGCGGACCAAATGTCAATAAAAACTGGTTTTCAATGAGATATCTTATAATTTATATTATTATAATTTATAATTGACTTTCACTAACAATTTTTTTTATAGTATAGTAATAGCAGATTCTTTATATTCTTGTCATAAACTTTTTATCAGCATTTTTGTATTATTATCACATCTTTATATATATAATATAATTAAATAAAATTTATTTAGCAACAAATTATATTTTATTATTTCAAACTAAGAAACAAAATTAATTAAACTTAATAATTACCAATATATGAAATTGTATAATAATTAATAACACCAATTCATTCAATTATAATAATGATAATGAATTATATGAATTATATTAAAATGGATTTGAATTGCAATGAGTTTAGCGTTTCAAAAATTAAATGTCATATTAGTTGTTATATTATAGTTAATATCATATACTTTAAAATTTTAAACCAAAATAAAGTATATGTATATATTACTGTATAACATATACGGTATATGATACATCAAATTTATTAAAAACATTTACTGTACTATTTCAATTATATAAATTATTTAATAATTGTACAGTAGTATAATATTTAATGGTTATAAAATCTTATGCTTTATCTACTTATCATAAAAACAAACTATAGTAAAATTATGCTGTATTTAATTATAAATAAATCAATAGACTTGAATTGATAATTTATTGAAAATTGCCAGACATGAAATAGTATCTAATTTGAAGGCATTTATATCACACTTTTACTCAAAAATATGTTTATTTTACACATTTATTTCATTTAATGATCAATTAAACTACATTTCAATTCATATCCATTAGATGTCGACTATTTTGATATACAAAGAATATTCCTATTTTTAGCTTTTGTTTTGAATAAAATTTATATACAATAAATATACTGTAAATAATTATTTACTGTAAATAATTATTTACTGTACTGTATATTGTATGAAATCAATTATATTATAAATAATAATTTTGAAACCAAATGATTTGTGCGAAATATAGTTTGCCAAAACTCAATAATTGTTTATTAGTATAATAACAAGATTTTTATAAATTTTTACAATACATTAAGTGTTTCAAAATACTTCACTTTCATGATAACATTTTATAATAATTATAAATTTATAATGATTTAAAAGTCATTATTATAAAGTTATTAACTAATTTAGATAAGATTTAATAGATTTGTTAGTATTATAGTTTTTGTTTGGAACCTAAGTATATCATAAAACAATACTATTATAATATTAAATATATCAAAGATGTAGACTCAATGAGATACCGTATATCGAAACACTAATTGATTTATAATATAAATTTTAAATACTGTACTGACTATGCTTCGTGTTTTGAGTATAAAAAGTTTAATATTTATTATTTGTTTAATTATTTATATTTGTAAAGTATGTAATTATAAGTATTGTAATTTTTACAATTAATACAATGAAATTAGTTTTATCAAATCATAATATCACTGATTTTATTATAAGATTAACTAACATTTATGTGATATATAGTATATTAAGTTAAAAAGTGAAAACAAATTTCCAGCAACTAAATGTTTTAAATAATGTTTGGCAATTATTTCTCATTAAATTTATTATTTTTAATTATATTATAAAACAAATAAATGTTAATACTTTATATATATTATATATTAGTATATGCTATTATTTCACAAAAATACTTGAATTTGTTATATTTAAATTATTTATTATAGAATAAACAATTTGATAATATTTAACAAAATATTACAATTTGTAATTTACAAAAACCCATACAAAAGAATAAACATTTTCAATGAGAGATGTTATGTCATAGTAATACAACTATAAAGTAGTAAATGTATGAAAAATTTGAATAACTTTTGTGTTATATTTAGTACAATCCCTATAAGGAATGTCATGTATTGAACGCATAGGGAGTACAACGTTAACTACATGAGCCACTGATTCTATATTTGGATTATATAAGAATATTCTGTTCACACATGCGTTTATATACACTTTGCACATAAAGTGTAACACATTTTTAGAAAATTAGTTGTCGTGTGTTTTGTGACAAACTTTCGGCTATCAATTGTAATTAAATTGTCTCAAAATTTTTAAGTAATTTTAAAACACATAATAAACCAAATTTAAAATGGTTTGTTTGTTAAATTAATACTTTATTAAAAAAAATTATAATAATTGTGAATAAGTTTTAATTATTATTATTATTAATTATAAATTTGTTGGACATATATTGTAGGGCGAAGGCGATGGATCAAAGAAGGCTAAGACGGGATCCAAGAAGAGAGCCGCCAGAACCACATCCAACGTGTTTGCCATGTATTTCAATAACTCAAAGATATTAAACAATATTATTATTTATATTATTATTATTAATACATAAATCAATGGCTATTTAGGTTTACACCCCATCAGGTTCAGGAATTTAAAGAGGTATTTGATATTTCTATAAATAGATTTGTTTTTCTAAACTTAAATAAATTTAAAATGAATTGAATTATCGAGTTTTTTAGTTTAGTTTAGTTAAATAAGTTTATAAATAAATTATAAAAAAGTTTCTACTTATTTGTTAAATAATAATTAAATACTAATTAAATATTAATTTATAAAATGTTTGTGTTTAAATATGTTAAATAAAGAATATATACTTGAATTTATAATGTAGAAAATTCAAAATATATTAATTCAAAAAACATAACCAAAACAATATTAATATATAAATTAATTTTTAATAAATATAACCCCATATAAACATTAATTGTATATAATTTATTTTGAGCGACAGTTAAATTGTAAATTTTAGGATAACAATAATTAAAAAAACTAAGTTTATTATTCATAATATGTTAATTATAACTATTTTTGATATATAAATTGATTAATACTAATATATTGTTTATATTAATGGTTAGGCTTTCCAAATGATCGATCAGGACAAGGATGGGTTCGTATCTAAAAATGACATCAGAGCCACATTTGATTCATTAGGTATTTTCAATTATTTTCTAATTATTTTAAATTATATTATTATTATTATATTTATCAATTTAACTAATTAGGCCGTCTATGTACTGATGCCGAATTAGAGTCAATGGTACAGGAGGCGCCCGGACCCATCAATTTTACCATGTTCCTTACCATTTTCAGTGATAAAACTCAAGGTATGTTTATTTATATGTTAATAAACCACAAAAAACAAAACAATAATTTGTATGAATTGATAGGCACTGATGAGGAGGATGTCATATTGAATGCCTTCGCTCAATATGATGAGGGAGAAGGCCTGTGTCGGGAAGAAACGTTAGTTTATATTGTTATTTAAAATTATACATAAATTCTATCAATATTTAACTTACAAAATGTTTGCACCGTTAGCTTAAGGCATGCACTGATGACTTGGGGCGATAAGTTCACAGAAGCTGAAGTAATCAACAAAAATTAAGTTATATTACTGTTAAAAATTAATATATATTTGTATTGTTATGTTTAAAGGCAGACAAGATATTAGGTGAGGCACCGATGGATCGAAAGGGAAATATAGACATTAAAAAGTTCGCACAAATATTGACCAAAGGAGAGGAAGATGAAACCGGAGCTTAAACTACCGGTTCATTACAGCTATAGTCAAATCAACGCCATTGCGCTTAAATGTTATTTATATAAATAAAATAATATTATCTGAAAAATTATATAACATTTAATGAATAATAAAATTGGTTTTTCTTTGATATATCAATTTAGTAAACAATTTGTGCCCCAATTAACTTGTTTTCACTTTTATTAATTATTTGTTAACTATTTTGACTTTAGTTTCTCAACTTATATTTTGTTTGTTACATCTATTTAGTAAAATTATAAATTTATAACATTATACAATTTTACAAACTAAATATTATTATTGTATAATTCTATTATAATGCAATATATATATATACAGTATATTATTAATCAATCAAAATAAAAAAGTATTAAAATTCTATAAAAATTGTATTAAAATTACTTATTTTATAACTATTGATATTATACAAAGAATAAAATAAAAAATACTAAATCGAATGTATAAAAAAATAATTGCTACTTGTATAATAAATAATAAACTAAATTTTAATATAATTAAAATAATAACATAAAAATATATATACATTAAATAATAAAAAAGTTTATAATTTTAAAAACATAATTTGAAAAAATTCTTATCTTAAATAAAAGCTGTTTTCTCGATGCATAACAAATGACTTGAATTCAATATAAATCAATTTTTGACACATAATATGCAAATGTCTGTAAAAATCAAACATAACTCATATGTTAATATAAAATGTTATATAATTTATTTATAAAAATTATGCTATACCTAATATGATGATTCACATAAATGATAAATACGGTGAATTGTTTTTATTGAACAAAATTAAAGCAATATATCAAAATAAATAATGTAAATCAAAAATTTATACACAAAATTACATTTAGTAAAATTAAATAAATCTTGTTTATTGAATCAATTGAATCATATATATATTCTTACAGATATTACAATATAAGGAATCTAATGGACATATGATTTGTTTATAGCAAAAAAACTTAAGCATATAAAGCTGTTTATATTATTGCAAGCATTTTAATTAGACAACTATTGAAAATTTTTGTTTAACAATAAAACGAACGGATAGTTTGATATGATTAGAGATAATAAGAGTCTCAAAAAAGCATTTATATAATGACTATAATATTAGCGATGAAACAAATGCTGGACTTCGGGATGTCTGTAATAACTGATATTGTCTTTAATGTTGATAAATAATTATGCGATATATTTATTACAATATTATATCTTCAAATGATAAGGTATAGTTTGGTTGCGCTTTTGTCTGTTATTATTATTTATTATTAATTATTTTATTACAATATAAATAACCACATCTTTATTGGCTAACGATTTTCAGTAAATATATCCTAAAAATGGGAAATGATTTGTCTCTTTAATTATAATTATCTTTTTCTTTATTTTGCTTATACTATACAACTGAACATTCATAATCTAAATGAATTACTGAGAGACTAACCTATTATGACTGTGCTATTTATGCACCGGCACCCTCTTCCTCATCCTCACCACGCGTTAGGATTTGCGCAAACTTTTTGATGTCGACATTACCCTTGCCATCAGTGGGCGCCTCCGACAAAATTGAATTAGCCTAAAAATTATTATTATTATTATACATTTTTAACAAATGTATTGCTAACATACCTCAACTTCAGTAAACTTCTCACCCCATGTTACCAATGCGTGTTTCAAACTAATTGATAATATAATTAATATGAATTATATACTTAACTAATAACAATTGATTAATTAAAACAAATGACACTAACGTTTCCTCATTGCAAAGTCCATTGCCCTCATCGTATTGGGCGAAGGCATTCAATATGACCTCTTCCTCATCGGTTCCTATCGTAATATAAACAAATAGATACTGTATTATACAATATAATTATAAAATATCTGTTATAAAATAATTACACTAACAAACACTAATAACACTAATATAAATTTTATAGTAAATATTACCAATTTTGTTAACATCGTAATTAATAAATATTATATTATTACTTAACAAAATATATATTATAAACTGATGTGTTTTACTAATTTGATATAAATTTATTATTAAAATTATTATCTTTATATAACATACCCTGTGTTCTATCGCCAAAAATGGTCAAAAACATAGTGAAATTGATGGGACCGGGAGCCTCTTGAATCATAGACTCCAATTCCTGATCAGTACACAATCGGCCTATCGGTGCAAATATACGGGAAATATTATATAATTAAATATAATTAGATAGTATTAGTTGATTTATATATCTATAATAATAAAAAATACCCAATGAATCAAATGTGGCTCTGATGTCATTTTTGGAAATGAACCCATCCTTGTCCTGATCGATCATTTGGAAAGCCTAACCATTAATATAATTACATAATTATTATCAAAATCACCAATATATCAATTTATTACACAATAGATATACAATAGTAGTTATAATAATGTAATACCTCTTTAAACTCCTGGACCTGATGTTGAGTAAACCTATTGTACAAAACAAAACAATGAATCAATAAATAATAATCTATTAAAAGTTAATATTAAATCATTTTTAAGACATACATAGCAAAGACATTTGATCCGGTTCTTTGCGCTTTCTTTTTTGAAGTGGTCTTAGCGGGAGCGGCTGCTGGTGCTGCTGCCGGTGCAGCTGCTGGGGCTTCGGCTGCCGGTGCGGGTGCAGCTGCCGGTTCCGCCACCTTCTTGCTCTTCTTCTTTTTCTCTTTTACCTCATCTGCCTATTGATTATAAAAAATTACATTAATTATTGTCTGATATTGTCTTAATCAAAACATTATTACTATTATAAACATTATTATAAATATAAGCATAAAATCATTTACAAACAAACAAAAAATTAGTACAGTTTATTATACGATAACTTTCATATTATAAATTATCTTATATAATGATAGAAATCGTTTAATAAACTGTATTAATTTTTTTGTTTATAAATGATTTTGTCCTTATATTAATATGACATTTTGCTTGCTTAAAATAATTAAAAAAAATTATAGTACAATATATTGAATACATTGCTTGCTGAACAAATCAATTGCTTAACTTAAAAAATAATTAATATAATGCTATTAATATCAAAGTTAAGCATTTGTTAAAAATTTTATTTAATTAATTTACAAATAATATGTATTATTAAATATATTAAAAGTATATTTCTGATAAATATACTAATTTTTAAATATAAAATCAATGCAATTAATAAAATAATTTAATAATAAATAACAAAATAATTATAACTATATTTTTATAATTTATACTGTATATAAATATATTAAATTACTCTTGAATGCTATAATAATTAATACAAAATTTTAATTAATATATTTAATAAATTATTATTATTTATGATATATAATTATTATATATACTGTAATATATTAATACTAGTATATTTACAGTACGAGTATATAATAAAACATTACTGATAGCAATGTATTTAATACCGCAATTCTGAAATTTTTACGTACTATAAATTTTTATATTGTTTAGAGTATATGTTTTTTATATTGATGATTAGTGAAAGTAAAAAAATAAATTTAATAATAATGTAAATTAATTGTTATTATATCTTAAATTAAAAGCTTATCTAAAACTAAATAATTTTTATAATTACTGTATTTAAATGCTTGTATATTTGCTATATAAAAATATTATTATGCACTTATTTTTAAAAATATTTAAAAATATAATTTTATCTTGCATTTTGATTGCATAAATTTATTATAACAATATAAAAATAAAATATATATGTTAATAGGACATGATTAAAATATTTTCAAATAAATCAGCTGTTAATAAACAAATTTTAAAAATTAAAATAATTTTTATATCAAACAAAAAAACTTAATTACAAGTTATATTATTCTTAATAAATTAATTTTGATTATAATATAGCAAATAAAAATATATATGTGTATAACAACAAAATCGATAATATAAAAATATAAACTGTAATTATTATTAACTGCTTGTGGGAGTCATCACTGTATGGTATGTCTTAATATAGCCCTTTCCCTAAAAGGAAGGACACGAATATTCTTAATATCATTTTAAAGAGTCAAGTAATGCAATGCTATGAAAATGCAAATGTGTTTCCCATCATAAACAACACAACTGAGCCGAAACTCATATTTATGTTTAAAGATTAGTTTAATTATAAATAGTTTTACAAACTTATAAGTTTATTATAAATTTAAAAATTATTTACGTTTTCATAAAAATAAAAAATATGTATATTCAATATAATGTAGCAAACTTTAATAAATAGTACTGTATTATAATAAATACTATTGTGTTAATAGGCATATATTAAATTTGAATGTATTGATATATTAATACAAATATTATATTTAGAAACTAATGATTTTTGAAATAAAAACTATTATGACTAAACTAAATATTTAATGATTTAAGCGTTTTCATAAATAATAATAAATAAATTTATCAAAAAATAGTTTGAAAACATTTAATTGTATTTTTTAAAATAAAGTATATATATAAATATATATTTATCTATTTATAATTTACTATACTAATTTTAAAATTAAAATCATTTAATTGCGTAAATTATACTAAATATAAGCAATAATTAAAAATAACTTTTATCAAAGTAATATATTGTATTAAATATTTTTATCAAACTTAATTAATTTTAATTAAATCTTGTAAATCAAAGTAAAACAACTAAACTTCAATTTTAAATTTCATATTATAAGTTAATTATTTTTTGTAGAATAGATTATAAATAACAATATTAAGCACATGTGCAAAATTTTAAATATATATTTTATTTTTATCTTATAATTATTCTTACTTTAAAAATATAAATATTAACAAATGTTAGATAAAATTTAAATAAGTGTAATAAATAATGTATTTGAATGTCAAATGTACGTTATGTTTAAAAATATATTAAAATACTACATAAACTTAAATCAGTTTCTATAAACAAAATTAATTGTGAAATATTTTATTTAAATTATTATATTATTATTTCGATAAATTAATTTATTGACAAAATTATAAAAAAATATTTTGATTAAGACTTACCATTTTATGTAATGTTTTATAGCGGAAAACTAAAGAGCAATAAGTGATTCACAAATCAGTAGTAAGTTTGAAGACTGAGATTAAAATGAGTGAGAGATTAGCGTTTGATTAGAAAATTTTAATACAAGAGTGACGTCTGGGAAAGGGAGACGAATAGACAGAATAGGCTCAGACCTAATGTCACTAATAATAAACCACTTAAAACACTGGTATTTTTACATCAAACAGTATAGTATATAACAACTCATATATGGTTCAACACATGACCGATATATCTATATTTCCGACTAAAATAAATGCCAAAACTCTTGGCTCTGAAAAAACTTTTGTTAAAATGCTTTAACAGAAATTCCTCAACAATTGAACTCTAATTTTAAACAAGTTTTGTCACATATAATGGTTTTTATTCAATGATATAAAAAAATAATAAAATTTAAACATATAATGATATATAGAGTATATAAATGTATGCAATAAAATAATTGATAGTATTTTTCGTTGGTTTTAATGGTTTGCCATTCAATTCTCAATAATATCTTAAGCTTTTTAAACGACACATACCTTTGATTTTGCAATAATTTTATTTTTAAAAATAATTATTGGTTTCATTTATAATAGATTTTATGCAGCAAAAATGAATAAATTTTTAATATATATATATATATAAATATATTTTTGGTTTCAAACAATTTAGAGTAAAATATTATTTTTATTAGATAAACAAATTAACAAAAGTAGTTTAAATATTTAAAATATATTTATTTAAAAATGCATACATAAGATAAATAAACAAATAAATATATTAAGAAAACAGTCAATTCTTGATTTTATTTGCATTTCTAATATAGATATAAAATTATTTTAAAATATTTATTATTTTCTTACTAAAAACATTTTCAGTGTCTTAAAAAATTAAGTTTTTAATTATAATATATTAATATGAATATAGAATATTTAATTAAAATTTTAATAATTAATAAAACATTTATAATTTAAACTTATAGTATATTAAACAAATTTTATAAAATTTATAATATAACCAATTAATTATGTTAAATTAATGATTCTATTATATAAAGTAACATTTAATATAATTCAGTAATTTTTAAATATAAACATATGATATATATATATATATATACTACAATAAAACTAATATATTTTTAATAAAATTTATTAAAATAAATAAAATGTGAATTTAATTATAGATTATTAATAAATTAGTTATTATTTGAATAAACTTATTTATCATTTAAATGTACTAAATAAATATCATTATTCTATTATTAAATTTAAATGTTATTAATTAAAATAATTATTTAATTATAAATACTGTATATATAGCAGTAATTTTAATGGCTTAATAAAATATATAATGTATTTGTTTACTTATAGTGATAATAATAAATAAATTAGTTATTTTATAGCAAATACAGTAATCGTATAACAAAAACTCACAACAAAATGATTAATGATTTGTTTTACTTAATAATAATCCTTTGAATTTGTGAGAAGAGATGAAAAAAAGTAAATAAGTATTTAATTTTAGACATTCATCCATCAAATGGCAATGAAGTTAATACTAACTTCAATATAATATGTAAAAAGTATCAATCGATGTCTTTCTAACAATTTTGTAGTCAATAATAACATAAAAATACACTGTTTTTTATTTAATTCCAGTTCCTTAACATACAGTCAACTAATATACAGCAAAATTTAATCTCCAGATAAAAAATTTAAATAAAATAGATTTCAAATGATTCGGTAAAATTAAAAGAAAAACTTATAAAATTTATTAAAATCTAAGAATAATTTATAATAAACAAGATGTAAAAATTTATAACTAATAAACTTGATTTAAGTAATACTGAAAATATACAGTATTTGAATTGGTTTTTAATAAAACTTTTTATTAATAGGCGATAAATATTTGATATATTGATAAAAATAATTAAAGATATTAATAAATTTCAAATTACCACAATAGTCATATACAATTAATACAATTAAATATTTTTTACAATTTTTAGTTTTTTTAGTTAAACTATTGATTATTTATTTTTTTTTTGTATATATTATTATTTTCATAATAACAAACTTTTATTATCTATTATTTAAAATAATATTAAAAATATTGCCATTATTTAATAGACACATACAGTTTAAACTATTTTCTAAAAAACTCAATTGYTTTTTGATTAATATCTGAACAATTGTTTTATGGAAATTAATTCAAATGTGTTTGATATATATATATAGTTTAATTGTTGAATAATTTACAGATACTTTAAAATAATTAATTCGTTTGATAACTATTTTGACACTAAAGTAGATTTTATTGGTGTTTGTATTGATTGAACTGAAATAATAGACATAATATAAATATATTTATATTTGATTTCATTGCGAAACCAATGAAATCTATTTTAGTGTCAATTTGATTGATTCGTCAGTTATATTGTAATTCTAATATAATCTTAAAAACTATTTGACATAACTTTTTGAAAATTTTATCACAAATTTCTGATTATTTAAATTATATATTTTAACAATTTTGAATCAATCTAATAATATCAGATATTATCAGTTTTATAATATGTATAATAACACACAAACCTTTGTGTCTTTTATTTTGCAAAATACATTATGTTTGTCCTGTTGTCTAATTTATACTGTTTTTTAAATGTATGATTAACTAAAACCTCTACTTTTATATCATACGTGTGTTTTAACCAAACAATACCTAATGATTGCAAACAATAACTTCAAGAAAATAGATTCAAATATGTAAAACTATTTTAATGTTTTTTTTTTAAATACAAATATCAATTAATGTCAATATTTATAAACAATAATTAAAACAGTATTATTGCACAATCAATAACACAATCCAAAACCAAACATCTAATGGAAAATTGCGACAATTTTTGTCATTGCTTTTACTCTTTTTAATCATCAGATTTTTTTGATCAGTTATCTCAACGATTAATTGATTTATATATTGACTTTTTTAAGGAAAAAAGAGAAAACAACTCAAGTTTGGCACCAATTTGTGTTATTTGTGAGCTGTTAGACAAACAAAAGTTAGTGAAAGATCTATTATATGAATATTTATATAGAAATATATTCTTTATTTTATGTCAACTAATATCTTAGTAAATACGGTTATTCTGTACCTTAATATAACATATATGTACTATAATTGTATACCTATAATACTACTGTAACTTATATTATAAAGATTATAGTTTAGACTTAGAGTATAGTAAATAATGTATGTATTGTACTGTACTTTAATGTTGTATTTAGAGTGAGTAAGTGATGATGCGGTCGATGGCAACTTTGAGAGGCATTTATTATTTTTTCACAAATATCTCATCATTTAATGGCATAGATATTGGTGACAGCATATGATTTAGAGATAACCGATTCGTGCCATCAATTTTGTTATGTTATATTAAAAGTGTGAAAAATCAAACCAAATATATTAGAAAAATAATTCTCTCTCTCTCTCTCTCTCTCTCTCTCTCTCTATCTATCTATCTATCTATCTATCTATCTATCTATCTATCTATCTATCTATCTATCTATCTATCTATCTATCTATCTATCTATCTATCTATCTATCTATCTATCTCTATCTTTATAACGATTTTTAAGATAAGACTGATAAGAAAGTATTTAGCTAATATTGATTGATGTTAAATGATATGTTTAATTATAAATAAAAATATTTTCTAATAATAGTCATGGGATTAGATAAAACATTAACTTTTATATAAAGAGTTTGTGTTTGGTTTGACAAAATGTACTCTAGAATAATAGTGAATTGATTATTATTAATACATTGAAATATAATATATTATTTTGTATGTAAAATAGTTGTCAATTTTAATAATATTGTTGTTTACTTTATGACAATTTATTATAATATAATAGTTGTATTAGTTTTATTATGTATAATAATTGATATTAATATTATATCACTTACTCTTTTGCTTTTAATATACTCCAAAAACATAAAAATGTTTATATAATGTGTATATAAAAATAACTGATACTATAGCAACTATTGTAATATATACTGTATATGCTGTATATATACAATATGAGTCAATTCATCAAACATATTATATAATATAATATTATAAAAAATATTATGAATTATGTTATTTCCGCACCAAAAGTCAAAATAATTAATACTTAGATAAATCTAATGAAAAAATGTTGATAAAAGTCTTTGAATAAAGAAATGCATAAATTATTTCAACAGAAAAAAGTTTCACTAAAATTCAAATTCATTTATCAAACTATTTGTGCATTTGTTGTAAAAATGACATATATTGTAATGTTGTACTTATTAAGAGAATTGACTGTATGTATAAATCTTTGTCTATAAGTTTCTCATTAGACGACATACTATAATAAATAAGTAAATGGTATATAATATATGATATGATATAAGTTATTGATTTAATCTAACATTAAACTACTTTTTATATCACCAGTTGTTGTCATCTATTTATTAACTTTAAACAGTAATTAATTATTTAACATTTCTAATAGTTTACAATGTATTATCAATTAATAATTTTTGTGTATAATTTCTACTAATATTTTTATAGTTATGTATTATTAATAATGATAAGTATTATACATAAAATAAATTATTAATTAATTTTAGAATCCATTATTTATCCAATAATTTTAAAATTGAGTTTTTATAATAAACAGAATAATATGTATTTTTTAAAACCTTAGATGTAATATAATGTTTATATTTCTAAACAAAATAATTTTATTAATGTGAATTTATAACTAAAGTGATAATTGATGTGATAATTATAGCAATTATATATTTAAATAGTTTTTAAATTCTTATATCTATTTATATATTTATTACAATTATTATTGACATTATTAAAAAAATATAAATTCGTCATAAAGTAAAATATCTACTATTAAAAAATCAATTACAACACATGTTTAGAATTTAATTAAAACAATTTAAACATTTTTAAAAATCAATTTACAATATATAAATAAAACAAAAATTATGATTACACACATTACATTTTTTATCACTTATTTTTATCATAATTATAAGTTAAGCATCTGAGCAAACATAATAATATTGTTATGCAATTACTTATCGCTTTGATTTTATTTATATCAACTTTTGATTATTTTCATTTTTAGATATTTTTATTAAAAACATTTATCTATAAAACAAAACTATTTTAACACTAATATAATTCAAATATTACTCAACCCGAGCTCAGATATAATCATAACTTGAATTTTTATATGTGAACTCACGATTCATATATTGAATATAATTTATATATATTATATACTATATATACTGTATATATAATTGCACATAATTTTTTGACAAAATTGGACGTAAATTAAATATATTTGTTGTTATATTAGATTTAGTATTTGCTAAACTATATCTATCATTTGTTTTTGTTATTATTTTATAAAACTATTTAACTAAACATAATAAACATCTTTTTATCAAATTTAATTATATTTGAATATATAAATAATATATTTTAGAGGGATTTATTAAATATAATAACTACAATAAGAATAGAATTATATAATTTTTAATAAATATTTTTTTGTATTTGTTGTTAAATATAAAATTTTAATCATCAATGTATTAATGTTTTACAAAAAAAAAATTGATATAAAGATTTTGTTTAAAAATAAAATTTCAAAGTATGTAATAGATAAATAAGCATTAAATAGTTGCAAAAAACTTATTTTCAATAGTGTATATAATACTAACCAATTTTTATTGAATTATATGTATATAATCTATAGTACAAAATATATATTGTATTTCAGACATATGTATTTGCATCGATAGTATTATAAATATATAAAGAATTTATAAAACTTTTAATGCATTTGAATATCGTTTTATATAATTCTTATGCAATTCTCAATAGACTTACAAAAGTTTTTCAATTTTATATATGCATTAAAATCTTTTGCATTCAATATAATCGCATGAAATGGAAAACATATTAAGTTTACAACTGATAATAGAAAGATAGTGTAAATTTCATGAAAATTTGTTAATATCTAATATATACTCATTTGATTATTCACTCAATCGCCACTAAAATATATTTAAAATATTAGTCAAATAGTTATTTTACAAACATATAGTACATATTTCATGAAATAATTAAAAAACTAAGAAAACAATTTTTAAATAGAAAATTAAGAATAAATTATTTAACTTTTCTAAACTTATATTCAAATTTAAATTTTAAAAATAGGATCTTAAGAACAAAACAAAAGACTGTTGTAATTAGTGAACTAAATATTATAATAATTTTGTGTTTGACATACATTTTGAAAAAGAGAAATAAAGTACAATGAATCACATTTTTGTAGTTTTATATTTAGAAATGAATATAACTATAATGTAGATTGAATTTAGTCGATCCTTATCTTTACAGATAACTGTTCACTCATTGAACAAACTAATAGCGCAATGTATTAAATGACATCAACACGAATAATACAGAGAGAGAGAGAGAGAGAGAGAGAGAGAGAGAGAGAAACAATCAAACATATGGATTAACAATTACTTAATAATGTTATTATATTGAGTTAAAGATATTATATTGTATAAAATATTTTCATCTTTATATAATATTACCGTTTAAACAGGTATTATAAAAATATGTGGATTATTAACTGTTTAACTTATCAAATATCAATTCAGTTATACTTGATTTAAGACTCGTTATACTAAATATATTTTTAGTTATAATATTATTTAAAGTTATTTAATAATATTCTATTAAATAATGTATAATTAAAATTTGGAGTATAAGCAAATTAAATAATTTATGCTATAAATTAAATTAAATATTTTACAAATTTTAGATAAATATTTTTAATTTATTCTAGATATTGTAAAAATCATCTATTAGAGATATATATTAATTTTTTAAAGTATGAACAGTTTTACTAAAATAAAAAAATGCTAAAAATAATAATCTGTATTTTGATGATCTTTAAAACGCGGAAAACTTTCCGCAAGTCTTTAAAGATTGATTAATAATATTATAAATATTTGTAAACATTAATTGATATTAAAAATAGAAAAATACTATAACGATATAAAATATTTAAAAAATTATTACATTTATTTAAAAAGTTACATGCAAATATTAAGTTTTGTAAAAAATTTTAACGCATAATAATCTTAATTTTATTAATATAATTTTTTAAAAATAAAATCAAGTAAAATTTTATTTATTATTTTTATATAGTAACATATTACATTTACAATTAAAATAAATAATTACATCAAATTTATAAAAATTTAAAATAGTAGATTGTAATAAATTTTTAGTATAAGTTAGTTTAAATAATAATAAATAAATTATTATTTATACAAATTACAGTTGACAATTTATAGATTTGCAATTTTTAGAAATATTATATTTATAAAAAATGTACTCTATATATTAAATATATTGATTTTAAAAAAAACTTAATTTATTTTAAAATACAGTACAATCATAATTTAATTGTCGGTCGCTATTAATGCTCATTAATATTAAGATTAATGTTTAAATAAATTATTGCATATACTATCTGTACTAAAACAAATCATATATTATACATTTTCATACCTATATGTAGACCACATAAATCACATTGAATTTTTATATTTTTAATATAAATTAATTATAGTTATTTTATTTAACAAAAATAGGTTACCACAAATATAACCAGCTAATGTACAGTACTTAATTTTATAGTAATATAATATTTTAAATAATAATATTGATTACCAAACAATATTTTATTTAAAAATAGTAAGATATTATAAATTAATCTTAAGTTAATATATTTTTTGGGATATAAAATGATTAATGAGTTAATAACTAAAAACTTGACAAATATTTGACATTAAAATTGACTTAAATTATAAACATATTGATTAACATTTAAAGTTAGACCTTTGGATCTCAATTAGCCATATATTTGGTTTATAACAGCATAAAAGCGACCACTAATTACAGTCATCTCTTATGAATAATGACTTTAAGTTAATTTCAACAGTCGTTTATTAATTTATAATTTATTACAATTATCACTAAAAGCATTATAAAAACATTAATAAACTCATTAATATTAAAATTCTTGAAGGATTTATATATAGATTACTGGTTTAGACTTAATTTAATGATTGTATAAAAATCTTTCAATAATATTCTTCAATATTTATGTATATTCTGTAATAAATAACTTTATATATCCATATATCAGAATTATAATAAATTATATTATAATTTTTAAGCTCTTTATAATATTGAATGAATAAAATAATATGAATTTAATTAGATTTTCACGATCTTATGTATGCTTTTGTAGACATAATTAATAATTCGGTATTTTTATTGTTAAATTTTTTTCATAAAATTTGTATTAATTTAATTTTTAAATTTTAATACATTAAATCATTAATATATTTAGATATTGGGCTTATTTTTTTTTGGATCACATTTCGAAATTATTTTAAACAACTGTTAAATTAATTTATCATAATTATATTAATTTATAAACAAAAATATTTTTAATAGTAATTCTGCAAAATATTTATATATTATTAATATGTGATAAGTCATCGACCATTTACTGATATATAGTTCAGATAAGCAATATATACACGCAATACCTATCTTATAGAAAACCAAGTCATTGATTGAAATAACCGGACATTCAATATATGAACTCTTTGCTGATATATATTCTGTATATTGTCATCAATATTATTATTATTATACTATTAAACATAACTAATTATTTATTACTAACTCATAAATATGAAATTCTATGGTTAATAATTAATTAGTATTACTGTAGTGATTACAAATACAGACATACAGTATGTTTGTTCATTAATAGCATACATGAGTTGTGATTGCAGCTGTAGTTCCTTCAACACACTTATATTTTTGTTGGATTGTACTGACATAACCTAAACAAACTTTTCAATTACACGATACTGATATTTATCCATTGTTTGCCAATTACAGTATAATGATTACAATTGTCATAATTATACAAATTATTATTTAGAAAAATAAATATTTAATTTGTATATTCATTAGGAAAAACAATAAAGTTGTCATCATTTTACATAATATTTAATACTAAACTAATCAATATTTCAATGAAACCAAACTTTATATGTATAACATATTAGTAATATTTGTGGTCATATATCGGTGATTCTTCCGTCGGACAGATTTGATTGATTGATCTCAATCTTGTTACGAGTGGACACCGGAAATATATCACTGGAAGTCATATTATTCATATTAGTTGTGATGATGTGATGCGGTGATGGAGAGTAGTCCTGGCAATGACCTGTAGGTCCACCACCTATACCGCAGTGGTCAGCACCGGAACGAGAGGAACACCGTTGCCTAATATCCGAGTTGTTATTACAGCACTGATCGCGAGCGATATAACTAATTATTATGCGGCGAAACGCTTCACGAAATTCAGTGTTAAATATACTATAGTTATGTGTGAAACATAATTAAATGAAACAAATAATGTATTAATTAGTCATCATTTTGAACGTGTTTTAGTTAATTAACTAAAATTTTAAAACTATTTTTTCTAGACCTAAATTAGTTTAATTATTTGCCTCAATTATATTGTCTCAAAAAACATTTTATGTGTATGGCTTTGACAATTAATTTAACGTTTATTTAGGCTAATTGTAAAATAAATTTATATATAATATTATTTTCAAAAAAATAGTTTTAATTTTAAGTATAAATAATGCATATAATGATAAATATATACCTATAAATTGCTGGATTAAGACTACTATTGAAATAACCTGTAATATAGAGAATTAGTAATAGTAATAATAATTAATATATTATATAAATATGTAATCCTATGTTATATTATTTAATATGACTGTTGTATCCCTACCGAGCCATGTGAGCACTTTAAATGCTAGACTGGGTATACATGTCTTGCAATAAGCGGCCACTATATTCATACAGAAGAATGGTGTCCAACACGCTATTTGTTTGTATATAAATAAAGAAAAAACAGACAAATAGATTGACAGTTAGTTTATCAGATAGTATGACATTTAATATAATAATTTAATACAATATTAAAGACAGTTGTGTTGAGAAAAAGCAGAAATACTGGGATTAGATGAGAAAGAAAGAGAGAGAAAGAGATGACATGACAGTCAATAATACGTGCCTAAGAATGTGCCCATAATTACACCTAAAGTGATGGCAGCCTTATGTTCGGTGATGTGATGATTATAGGTCTGTCCGCTCACATGAATCGGTTTTGTCATAGATTTAATACTTTTGACGTGTTTTTGGCAAATGGCATACAATTTGGCGTATAGTGCGACCATTATTATACACGGCAGGTAAAAACTATAATAATCAATGTTTTAAATATAACATTTAATACATTTATATATTCATTATATTAGTTTATTCTCTTAATATAAAACATATATTTTTATGCTCATTATATATCAAATATCAAAAAAATAAAAATTAGTGGTGACATTACATTTGTTTGATCGACAAATTGTTATGTAAATGTAATCAATTTAAGTGATATTTCTTTGAACTAAAATACTGTTTATAGATTTAATAATAATAATAATCTATTTTATAATAATATATAATATTTGATATACTGTATGTATTGTATATATTATATATAATATAATAAATTTTATTTGAGATCTAATTTTATAACCCACTCATCATTCAAATATTAGAAATAAATGTAAGTTTTTTGACGTGTTATCCGCCAAATCTATACAAACATTAAGATTTTGTGTCTGAATATTGATTTCATACAAACATAAAGATAAATTTTTAGAAAAATCAATATTTTTTCTCTTTTGACACCAAAAATACCTATAAAATCAAAATCTAAACATATTTTCTTTTCTACAAAATTATAACAAATATTTTTACAAAATATATTTATTGTAAATATCTTTAACTATACAATGAAATCATTTTCTATATTTTTGACATAACGGTCAGTATTTAAACAACAAAAATAAAAATAAATAAAAAATTTTTGTTGCGCATAGTTTATCATATTTCAAGTGTCATCAAATTTATACTACAAGTTAAATATTCAATGTATTGAATATGTATTGAATAAATTTTGTGTCAATAAAAGATATCGTATAAAGTAAAAAATGTTTTTACAATTCAATATTTGATGCATTCAGAAAAAAATCACTACTAAGTTACAAAATTTTTATAAAAAAAGAAAGTTTTTCAAAACAAAAAATAAATTGTATTAAAGAGTGAAAATATTTGGAAAAAATTAAAGTAATTACCTGATGGTTGAACTGACTAAAGCATAGGTAGGGGTGAGGTCGAGAGCACATTGAGGTCTATCATCTAATATATCGGTAATTAGAGTAACATTTTTGTCAATATCGGTGTTTGCCGTAGGCTTATGCCATCCCAGACTGATTGGCACAAAAGAGACGAATCCTGAGACCAACCAAATACCAGAAACGGCACAAAAGATTATCTTTTTATTCATCCATCGATTATAACTCATGGGGTCCTTGATATGTACAAAACGGTCTAATGAAATGGCACACAGATTCAGTATAGAGCACGTGCCTACAAAAACCATATGAATGGTGCCCATCAAAAACAGATTAATATCGCATCAATAATAACAGACAAACAAAAAATAAAAATTGTATTTAATGCTGACAAATGTTTTTTTTTCACTATATTCAGATATATATTATATACGATATATCATATATATATATATATATATATATATATATATATATATATATATATATATATATATATAAATAACAGTATTATATTGTTTTCTGGATTTTTGTTATAAACAATACTTACAACAACTGATATCAAATGCAATCCATATTTCGCATAGTTGTGGTCCAAACATCCAGTACTCCATGAGATCGTTAGCCAAAGCAAACGTCATCACCAAACAGCCCACAAATAAATCGGCTAATGCTGTGATATATTGTAATAATTTTTATATTAAATTAATTTTTTATCACCTTTAATATGAAAGTACTAAATTTTTGATAAAAAAGTTATTGTGGTTTTTTTTTTGTTTAAATGTTAAATGATTTATTTAAGATAAAATAATAATAATAATAATAATAATAATAATATGTTAATACCAAGTGATGCCAGAAACAGATTGCCGAGTCTTCTAAGTCTTCTATCGCTAGATATGGCCAAACAAACCATAATGTTTCCCAATATTGATACTAGTATTGTGAGTCCCAACACCAGTCCGATCACAATCTTTATGTATACACTGAATGGTTCGGTATATTCCATGTCCTCAACGGGTAATTCCGGCTCTTTATTCCAGTCATACTTGAAATTATCGTTTCCTTCTGATGGATGGGAAATGGATTTTGTGGTCAAACCAATCATTTTTTCGATGCTTTCCATGTTTTCTATCGCTATTTTATTACAATAGTCAGAAATAATCAATTTATATTTATATAATAACAGATATTTTTACTTGAAAATATTCATACATATACAACATATATATATATTAGTATATAAACAATTATAAAAAAATGTCATTTATTCACTGCCATATAAAACAAACTTTAATAAGTATTTGTAAGTTTCAAACAAAAATAGCAAAAATATATTAATATATGAATTAAAAAACTAAGTCAAACAATGATAATAAAAGACAGAAATATATTATTTTTATTATTAATTATTTGTCTAAAAGGCATCTTCTAATGTCATGAAATGTTAAAGAAATCTAATTTATAATAAGTTATATAAAAACTATAACTGCTTTAAGATGTTTCTTATGCACAAAAATAAAGTCAAAATTAATTTATGAATATAAGAATAGCATAGATATTGAAACAACAAATTGAATAAATACATCAAAATATTTGTATAATTGCTTATACTGTAAGGCAATTATGTAGTTAAATCACAAATAGAAATAACTTTTAGTCAAATATTCAATATACGGTAAAATTTATATTTAAATATATGCATAATATGACATATAATGTAATTTTTATGTATTAATAAAATAATTAATATATTTATTCAGTAGTAAGAAACAGTTTAAAATATATATTTTATATATAACACAAACAATAAAATAATAGAAACAATAATTTAATAATTCTGTATAATTCTTGTCATATAAGACTAGACAATCTCTCAATTTTTATACAAAACAAAATTCATTTATTATTAACATTTTCTGATGAGAGGTTTTGAATGTTTGTTAAAGAAATGTCTAATAAAATGCAGAAATATAGTTATAAGGATTTTATTTGTAAAGTGATGTATTATATTTTTTAAAAACTAAAATATTTTTTTCAATTTATTTTTTATTTTCTTTTATAAAAAATAATTTATTGCAATAAATCCATTGAACGCTAAAATTCACTGCCATTTGTATAACTAATGATCAGTATATTACATGAAAAGTTGATAATGATATTGAAATATAATATTGAAAATACTATTAAATACAAATGTAATATTATTGTAATATACATGTCATGTAAGATAAAAATAATTAATTAAAAATAGTTTTTTTGAAAAATACAACATCTGTTTTGATTTAATAAAATAAATTATTGTATAATACTGTTGTATTAATATTATATTTAAAGTTATAATATCTATTTCAAAATTATATAATACAATCAACATTGCATGAATAAATAAAATGTCTGAATAAAAAGCTATAAAATATATTATTAAAAAATAATTACCATTTATTATAATTTTTATTATATTATTCCATAATTATTAAAAAATTAATACTATTTTTATTTTATTTGTTTTAAAAAACTTAATTGTTTAATTATGTACCATACTTAAACAATATCATATATTGTCACCTGTTCATCAATTTTGACAAAATTATGTTATAATTGATAAAAGTGGACCCCCTCCCCCATCTAATACCCCTTCAAGATTTTTGTCAGTTTACTCCCTCCTAGTATCCCCTTCTAGACCAATAAATCTGATATAAACATATTTTTTAGATTTCCAATATTAATATCCAGTTATCTTAAATCCCAAACTTATAATACGTAAACGTTATTATTTTATAAGATCTGTTTGCGGAAACCATATTATTAATATCAAAATATTTAATATTATATTAATTCAATTATTCATAAAATATTGACCAAAGAAATCTACTAAAAAGATATTGAAATTGAATTAATGTATTAAATATTGTTAGAAATGTGAGATCAATTATGGGTTGAGTTCAAGAGCTAGATTATAGTTAATAATATATATGTTTATATGATATAATAGTATACAAAAATAGTGGTATTATTGCCAAAACAAGTATTAATATAACAAATAACTTACAGATAAATACTATGATAGCTGAAACAGATTTATTGCTCTAATATAATATCACATAATACTATGTCAAACACTACAATAGTATATAAAAAAGGAAAAAAGCCATTGTATTTGATTCAATAATATTGACATTTATTATTGACATAACATATGAATTGATTTTTATAAGTTTGATATAAATTTATTGAGAATTTATTTTAACAATACTTTAGTATTGTATATCATATACTGTATAATAGACAAGTACTACAATACTATAGTTACTTTAATATATACTACCGATATATAATAGTAGACTGTATTAGTGGTCATACCATTTTCAATGTTGCTAATTAAAAGACAACTAAATTTGCATTTTAAATAGATATTGACAATAGCCTATTGTACATAAAAATTGCTAATTAGATTAACATTATAATCAATACTGAATTATTTTCTGCAAAAAAGTTAAAAAATAATTAATATTTAAAATTAATTAGATTTTTAAAAATACGTGAAATTTGTTTATTGGCTAAATGTTTATTAATTTGCATGAAAAATTTTCTTATTGTGCACTTAATTTTAATTTTATAAAATACAGTGAAAAATATTCATTACATATTGAAATTATCATTAGTTATAAAAATAACATAAATTATTATTAATATTTATTATATTTATATTGTATTATTGTATATTAATGAAAATGTTACAAAATGTCATTTATCTATTTATCATACTTTGTAACTAATCTCTAGAGACTCAATAAATAACTATAAATCAAATTAATTATGTCTTATATAATCATTGAAATGTCCAGTCGATAATGTTTTTTCAATTGAGTTAAACCAATAGACTTAACTGTTTGATAGTAAATTACTTCAAAATCTAGTATTAATGTTATATTTAATATTATACAAAATTGTATATAAAATATTAAAATATCAATAGAAATAATTTACTTATAAGTAAATTGAATAGCTATAATAAAAACATTTCTACATTAATTTTTTGTTAATCATATTATAATAATGTTATGAAGTATATTGAGTGCTATAATTGTATAGAAAATTCAATATATTAATACATTTGTTAAAATAATTTAACGAAATGTGTTATAATTGAATTATAATCGTTTGAATGATTTTGAGGATCTATTGTAAAAATCTAAACACTGTTCAATTGTTACTAATAAAAAATTTTAATTAAAATTATATCGTTTTAGTGAACACTCATTTAATGACATTTTGGCTACGATAATATTTGCCACAATATAATATATAAAAAATATAATTGTTATATAAATATAAAAAATTTAATAAATAAAACAAAATAAATGCCACATTTAGATGACATATGTATAAAACAACATAAAATAGTTTAGATTATATCATGTATAATATAATATATTAAAATTGTATTCATAAATTTTATTAAAATATTTAAATAACTAAAAAATACTATCAAAATAAAACAATTTTTAAATATTTTTTATTATAATTAATAATTTAATAATATTATACATTAAACAATAACTAATAATACAACACATTTAGCAATTTCTATTTTTAAGATCGATTTTTATAATAAACACATAAAACAAATAATACACACATTATATCATTGCATAAAATAATGAACAAATTCTATATAATTTAAAATAATATAAAATAGATAAAAGAGAAAAATCAATAAAATTGTTTTCTAAAAATAAAGTTTTATTTACTCATAAAAAGTTTAAATGTGTGGACAATAGCGGCTATAATTGTAATGTTTGTTTTATTGTTAATGATTTTATTATGGTTTAACAGCTAATGATTTTTTATTAACAACTATTCATTTCAATCAATAGATTTCAAGAAATCAAAGAAAATATATTTTTAATTCATAAAATTGATATCATTAGCAGACAAACTAAAATAAAAAATAAAACAATTTAGAGTTTACTTAGAGTTAATAATAATTATGAAAAACAAAAATATAAAAGTAAAATATTTTTAAAGTAAATTTACTAATTTTCTAAATAAGACTTCCAAATAATTTTAACCATTTTTAGATTGTCTTTCTCTACATTTAAAAGTTATTATAAAATATATAATTATTATATTTATAAATTATAATAACTCAATTGCCACCCCTCCCCCATCTTATATAAGCGTATATCTGAATGACTTTTTTTAAAAAAATTATGTAAATTAAATTAAAACTTTTATAACAAGAGTTGAATATATAAGTGAGATATTTCTAAAATATTTTAAAAAAATTAATTCAATATTTACTATTAAAAAATACCAGAAAAATAGTAAATTTTATCTTAAATATATATGCAAATAAATAATTGATTGTTTTCAATAGCATAACAAGTGTTAAACAAACTTCATAAACAAATTTGAATTTATATTCAATTATTAAATAATTTTTATTTATAGTTGTTCTATAATATACAGTTTATAAATAGTTAAATAAACTCAAATATTTATTTTTAGATAAATTATACAATAGTTTTAAAATAAAATTCAATGATATTATAGTTTATATTACAAACATTTAGCGAACATTTTAGTATTTTTTTTTATTTAAATATTTTGATTTTTTGAAAATTACTATTTTAGAAATTAGTCATATTAATTGAATATTTAATTGTTATGTAATTTTAATTTAAGAAAATCTAAGAATAAATGTTTTGTTTAAATCCTATTTTTGCTTTTTATATTATACTATTATTTTTATTATTCAATGGTTTAAATCGGTCATTGATTTTAATTAGTGCAAACATTTTTGTAATCAATGTAATCGTTTACGACATGAACTCCCACTTAAAATGACAATTAATTAGTATTAAGAAACAGATCACTATTTTTGTTTTACATTAAAAACATTATAGGATTTACAAAAAAATTGTTTTCAAAGATGAAAATATTTACTATTATGTGACTTTGTATGATATTATAAAGTCTATAATAAACAAATAAACACATATAATATAAGTGTGTATACTATACTCTAAAGTATATTTGGCTAAATAGCCGATATTAATGAGTGTGTGATTTATTTTTGAGTAAAGAGTTTGTTAGTACAGTAAATATATTTGATTTGATTTGCAAA